AATATATTTTCCCTCGGGACCATTATCCCATACCAATCTTGGTCATCTGGTTCACATTGTTCAATCGTGGAAATATTTTAGAATATTCATGTCCAGTTTTGTTTTCTTGGCCATGGGCGGGTTTTCCTGTTCCCTCAAATATTCCCACATTTATTTTCTCGAATTTTTGATTGATTAAGTGGATGCTCCTTCCCTTTTTAAACCATCAAACAGATCCCGATTGTCTGTGTTTTCTCCATTGTCGTGTACAGTCATTACGCGAACGTTACAAATAATGAACAAATATGCGAGCGGCGATTATGACGTAGCGGGCAGATATACTATATCTGCCCGCTCAGAGCGGGACGTATAGCTATTGTGGCAACCCAGGGTGTTGGGTAGCGTGGTCCTGGGTTACCCAGCTATAAAGTATTTGGATTTTTAATGGTCTAGCTTGATAATAGATTGTAAAATAAATGGGAATGGGGGACTTTTTAAACACTGATCTGTATCCACATTCACTTTACACAATCATTCAACACAACAGAGAATGTAATGGGAAATTATATAAAATGAATATAATTCAACTCTATTTCAAAATATATACATGTGTTTGGTTACACAATTCTACATAGATTTACCGTCAGCTATGCAAAACAACAGAAAGTAACGTTCTTTTCAGTAATTACAAAGGCACACAAAGATTTAAAATGCTGTGAGGCTTTATATTAGCAAATTAATACCAACACTGGCTATGCTTAGTTCCCTGGGACGAATAAGGGTATCAGCAAATTAATTGCCCTTGCTTACCCAAAATAATGACCTTACCCCGGAAATATTTAAATAACTCTGTAATGAAGTGAAAAATATAACAATTGCTAGATTCTTTCAGAATTTCAGTATTCGTGCAATCAAGATTAAGATAAATAAAATATGCCCAGTGAAATGAATGGAGCGCTCAAAAGATGGTTATGCTGTGAAGCTGTTTTACAACTAAAAAATCGTAACTAGTCCATGCCTGATGATACTAACCAGGTGCAACACAGATCCCCTAAAGAGTGTCAGCAAATATGAAGATTGCCTTGATCACCCCAAACCAACTCGTCTCGGGAATATTTAGAATAAAATGTGAAATAATACTACATGCAAAAATAGTAAAACTTTGGGAACGAATATAGCCAATGTTTCTCACAAGTTGAAAGTTTCTAAAGTAATCTAGCTTTAAAGTGTGGACATTTTCAGTGACACAAATAATTGACACTGGCAAGCAGATATTACCCTCAAATTATATAAGATAAAGCCAAAAATACCAAGTTGGCGATTGAATCTTAAATATACATGTAGGTCAATCTGTAAATTTCAAATGAATCAGAAATGCTTCTCACAAGAATGTACACGTAGCTCACTCAATGCTTATGAAGGTTTAATTAGAAATAAAGTTCTGAAAGTTCAAATCAATCTGCTAAATATGTACCGCCACATTTGAGACAAGGCGTGACCAGGCAGATTGAAATCAAAGTCGTAATCAAACAAAATGGCCCTGAATATTCTTTTTGAACCTGATAAAATAACTCTCAGCGTGGTTTAAATGAATTTATGCTAATGTAAATGAAGCTAAATGAGTGAGAGAAATCAGAAGATTCACCAACAAGGAAAAAGTATAAACAGTTTCTCTGTTTTAGAGTAAAAGTAATTCCATTACCTTACCAACCCGTTCACCTAGGTTGGTGTATCTAATAAGATGATATATATCCAATATGTATGTGTATTAATTCCAAAATGCAGAGAGAAAGTTAATTCCTGTTACTTGCCGGTGATTCAAAGTCTCACTGAAGAACTGATGATTCATGCAAAAGTAGACAAAATTTTATAGTCTCAAAATAAAATGTAATCGCTTAATTTGGCCCCTATAAACAATCACACATAATATACATTAAATATTGCTAAAATAAACAATAACATGACATACATTTGATATAAAGTTGACATAATGTGTCTAGTGTAGGAAATTCACATATAAACTTTTCTTAATGAGACTATAAACAAACATGGCTGAACAAGAACTAGTGAAATAAGAAAATTCTGAACAAACTTCTGAATTACGAAATATTTAGCCACATAATTGATAAATAAAGGTAAGAGCAATTTAAACAAAGTGATAATCCTCCAGAATAATCACATAAAATTGTATTAAGTAAGGGAGGATCATCACACTATATCTGCCCGCTGATGAAAATATAAGTTTTTACAAACCGGCTTTATGTACCTGTAACACGTCCAAGTATGGGATAAAAAGAATTATGGTAACATACACCATGGACCATGCATACACATACAATTACAAATGTGAAAATATTGTCCCTTTCATTGATTATCGGTATTTATAATCATGAAAATTAGTGAAAATATCGAGACATATCTACCTTAAAATCAGATTGGCTTACAAGTACTCTAAGCTATTTTCACATTTTTATTGCAAGAAAATCTTTTTGCAAGGGTTACAAAGGTTGAAATATTGTGCTGGCTCTATTTGGCTGGAGTTTAATATTCAGACCTAGCTATAGGTATTATTACATTTATATGTACACTAGTATCTTGTTGACCTATATTCAGCACTGTATTGATGAATGGGCCACTTATTAGGGCCAATATTCAATCATAAAGTGTACAGGGGTAGAGATGCCAAACCAAGAAGTCTTTTTGTGTCTGTCAAAATCCATTTGCATCCTACACATCCCAACATATTATCCAAATATGTTATTAATTAATGAAACATAACAGTATAATCTTTGGATTTACAAAGTTGTATGGGATTTCATTAGTGTAAAAGTTGCTTTTGAAGCATTTTTCTATAGCCATTTTGTAGAAAAAAAATGATGGAAAAAATGTATAATCTTTTAATTTGAAGTATGACCTGAATCGATTGCAAACTTTATATTTGCACATCTGATGTGATATACCATTTGTGTCATACTGTGAAATTATTTAATTTGCAATCGATTCAGGTCATAGTGTATTTTAGGTATTTTTGTGAAAATCAATAGAAACCAATGGCCTCTATTGGAATTGATGATATCCACATGTTAAGTCAATGGAGCCCATTCAATGGCAAGTCAATACACCCTTGCTGAACTAAATGACCTCAACCTCAGCCCATGTGGGTCCAAACGCTCAAATATTTACCACAGTATTATGTGGCATTGTATTCTTTATGTTACACCTAAAAATGATTCATTTTGTTCATGGGGATATCATAATGGAAAGTGCACTAGACCCTTATTGTAATTGTATGATATCGTATTTGTGATTTGAATATACACTGTGATATTTGAGAAAAAGAATGTTTTGTTTTAGTTTCATTGCAATTTATAACCCTAATATCTTAAAGCCAGAATCCTTCCTTGTCTTCCAATTTTCTAATAACCTCAGAAGTTCCTACTTTTTAAAAAAAATACAATTTTCCATGATCATTTTTATGTCACCACCACAACTTTTTTGTGGACGGTGTTCAGTGGTTGGTGTTTATCATTTGGCAGTTGGTGTTTGGCAGTTGGTGTCTGTAACAAATGGCAGGTGTTGACATTTTGCATGTGAATGCCTTGTCTTATAATGTAGCCAACTGCAACGGATGTAAAACAGATACAGTTAACTAATACATTTCTTGGCATCAATTCAAATCATATGCTAATTTTAAATGAAAATGCTTTTTTTCATATTTTACCACTCATACGAGTGAATGCCATAATATCTCGATGTCACATTCAGGAAAATATGGCTATCAACAAGTTTTGAATTCTTACAATCCTGGAAGTTGTACATGTAAGCATACACATCTGTCAGTTCAGTTTATGTGTAAAAGTTAATCCCCTAAGCCTTAATACCTGATGCATGAAATATTATGGATGAGTTACATAATATGTACTCGTGCTATTTAGGTAAATGTTGTGCCGTTTCACCAGATTTGACTGACATCTTTAAATAACAACAATTTGATTTGATGATCAGACAGCAACAAAACATATTAAGTGGCCAAGACAAAAGAATGTTATTATGATAGGCATTCTAGGGATTAAGGAATGCATTCAGCTTACATACTTTGAGAAATTATTGGCTTACGTAAAACCTATTTAAAACAGCATTTATCGTATTCAAAAGCGTTGAGCATCATTGATTCCCAGCCCTCTGAAGATTGAAAAATAAAAATACCTGGGTGTTAATCCATGGATTATCTTTGAAAATGAGAAATATATTTTTGGATTACATGGTGTAATCTTTAAGTAAACAAAATGTTTTAAAGTGTATTGATGTTTTTTGGATGAAAAACATAAGCGAAATTCATGAAAAAAATCCCCCGATTCATTCTACAAACAACTCGCCCTCCTTTGTTTATCATGAACCTGATTGGTTAGCTTGTTGACTTGACAGGGATTCCCCTCGCTGGCGGGGGAAGCAATTGTGTATAATTCTGAATGTTGGTTGTTCTGATGATTTGTTCAATATGTCGGCAATAATATACCCATAAGTTATTCTGAAGATGTATGTATCCAAGATATGTAAGATACTACATGAGCAATAATCATGGGACATCACTGATTATCGGGGAGAAAAACCTATGGTATATGGTGTCTTTAAGACCAAACAGTTCTGCTATTGTTCTGCTTTGAATATTATCTGATACCTTTCGAAATAAACACTTGAAATACCTATTTACAGTCATAACCCTAGCTTTAACCCTGGTTTTAACTCTAATACCTAGATTTAACTCTTACCCCAACCAGCAATGCCAATCACTAACCCTAATCCTAGCTCTACCATGATTCTGGCTGACCTATACAGCTTTTACCTTAATTTCATCTTTAATCTAAAAATTAACCCTTTCATTTCAATTTTTAGGGTCAAGAATATCACTAAGTTCAGCTTATTAGGGTCATAACATCAGTAACTAAAATATAGCATGAAGCAGGAGAAAAAGTCAAAGGAAGAACTTTCGAAAAATTGAAAATCTGACAAAGTTATATGAGGGCCCTTGTTTGCTCCCCCCTCCCCCCATTAATGAAAGATAACATCAAGACATCAATGTGATTCAAAACATGATTGTAGCACACTGGTAATAATGAAGAATCACATTATTGGTGTCATGAGTTTGCATGTACATGTATAATCATTTTTATTTCATGATCACATTTATTGTTTATTTATGACGTTTTAACATGTTTAAAGTTAATCTTATTCTTCTGTTTGCAGGACCTAGGCCTTATGTGACTGTCAATGAAGATGGAGAGAGAGTTTACCACTGCGATGGATGTACCTCTACATATGAAAACAATCACCAATTTTATTTATGTATGAAGAGTCACCATGGTGAAACCCCATTCATATGTCAAACATGTGGAAGCAGGAGTGATACCCTATTTTATTGGACAAGGCATATGAGGTCACACACTGATATGAGGAGCTATGAATGTCAGTACTGTGGAAAAACTTTTAAAACCAGAGTGACCTATCAGGAACATATAAGATTAGAAGAAGGCAAACAACCATATATCTGTGAAATTTGTGGAAAAAGATTCACCAGTAATTTCAAGTTGAGCGGACATTTGACCACACATAATCCTAAGATGACCAAATGCGAGATATGTCAGAAAAGTGTGAGAAAGGACTTATTGAAAGGACATATATTCAAAACACACACTAATACATTTAGATGTGACACCTGTGGGCGTCAGTTTTCGCGAAAAGATAATTTGCTGGTCCACCAGAGGATACATACTGGAGAAAAACCTTATAAATGTGAAACATGTGATAAATGTTTCATCCAGATGTCTTCTCTCAATAGTCACAGGAATATATGTCTCAAATTAGCCCATAAGAACATTGGCAAAAACAAAATAAAAAAAATATGATAGTAATGGATCACAATAACAATGCAATTAGTTTTAAAACACAAATGAAACATTATTGTAGAGTATGACATAAACAATGTAATATGAATGTAAATATGATAGTGAGAGAACACAGTGCGTTGCTTTTTATATAAAATATATCATAATTGTTACGGATCACATAAAATAGAAATATAATATGCTTTGGAAGATCACATAAAATAGAAATATAATATGCTTTGGAAAATAATATATCATAAAACTGAAGGATCGCATTAAATAACAATAGTATGTGTCCCTCAGAACATTATTAGCTCATTTGACCATAAATATATCATAATAGTGAAATATCACGTGAAATAGTTATGTCCCTTATACTGTTAGAGCATAAATGTACCATGATACTTTATAGTAAAGGACCACATTGAATAACAATTTGCTTCCTTACAAGCATGTAACATCATTGTGATCTTATTAAATAGCACATTGTGCAATATGTGCCTTGGAACATCAATGAAATCAATCAATAAAAATAAAGAATCACCGTTAATAATAATTTAATTAATTTTGGAATATAGATTTAACATAACAGTTAAGAATGCATTGTTACAATGTGCTTCAGAGCATAGATGTATCAAAGCAGTGAAGGGTCGCATTAAATTGCAGTGTAATATATTTGGAGCGAAGATATATAATACTAGTATAATACAAGGACCACAAGACATTTATGAAGCTGTAGTGTTCTGGGTACTTGTGCTCTTTGATAGGCAAAAGTAAGAGTAACAAAACTAAGTAGGTTTGTTGTTGGCTATATGATAAATGGATATATTGACGAATACACCCCCCACTATTAGGCACAAATGTTTTCTGTACCCTGGATGACCAAAGAGAGTGAGGGGTTTTGAAAGCTTTAATAGCTAGCCCTAAGGGGTGTATTCATCAATATTTGACCTGCTCCAAGGTCTATATATTACCATCTGAACATGAAAATTCACCCAAAATATTTTGTCTATTCATTTAATGGTTAGCCATTACTTCGGCTAGCCATTGTGACGTCACACATTACTCATATTACCAGGGGTAGTGTTGCCAAATATACACTGGGTGAAATATTGACTTTGTAAACAGTTTATAGAAGGCGTGAATACAGTCATGTTCGAATTAGGAAATATAGACCGAAGAGCAGGGGTTATATTGTCGAATACACCCAGCAGGGCTAGGCACAACTGTTTTCTGTACCCAGAACGACCGAAGGGAGTGAGAGGTTCGAAAACGTTTGTGCCTAGCCCTAAGGGGTGTATTTGACGATATTCCCCATGCTCTGAGGTCTATATTACGATTTGAACATGAAAACTCACCAAAATGTTTCGAATATTCATTATAGTCCGCCATTACTACGACCTGCCGTTATGACGTCACACATTACACGTATTACCAGGGGTATTCTTCGTGAATATACCCCGGGTGAAATGTTGACTTTGTTTACAGTTTTAGAAGTCGTGAATACAGTCATGTTCGAATATAAATTACGTAATCTTATATAACAATAATTTAAACTGTTCAAGTAAATCTTATTCTTCTGTTTGTAGGACCGAAACCTTATGTGACTGTGAATGAGAAAGGAGAAAGAGTTTACCACTGTGATGGATGTTCCTCAACATATAAAACCAATCAGCGATTCTTTTTATGTATGAAGAGTCACCATGGCGAAAACCCATTGATATGTCAAACATGTGGAATCAGATGGAATAGTATTTATTATTGGACAATGCATATGAGATCACACACTGATATGAAGAGCTATGAATGTCAGTACTGTGGTAAAACACTTAAATGCAGAAACGCCTATCTGCGTCATATAAGAGTGGAAGAAGGCAAACAGCCATATGTCTGTGAAATTTGTGGACAGAGGTGCAATACTAGTGGAACTTTAACCAGTCATATGTCCTCACATAATCCCAAGATGAGCAAATGCAAGATATGTGGGAAAAGAGTGAAAAAGCACTACTTGAGAAAACATATATTCTTAACACACACTAATACATTTACATGTGACACCTGTGGACGTAATTTTTCTCGGAAAGATAATTTGAAAATCCACCAGAGAGTCCATACTGGAGAAAGACCATATAAATGTGAAACATGTGATAAATGTTTCATACAAATGTCTTCTCTCAATAGTCACAGAAAAACCTGTCTTAAATTGCCCTAAATAAATGAAAACAAAATGTAACATTAAAAGTGATGGATCAAATTGAACAACAATGTGATTTCTTTTGGAAAATACATATTATATTAATGTAGAGGATGACATAAATAGCTTCAAAATGGGAGTGTAGTATGGTAGTGGGGGATCACAATCACATTATAAAGTACTGTAGTTCAATGTGCTTTTAATATTAGGCATATCATAATAGTGAAGGATCATATTCAATAGCATCTAATATGCTTTTGATATAAATGTATCATAAAACTGAAGTTTCTCTGAAGGAAATCTTTATCTTTGCTTCCACTTTGCATAACATTACATCATTTATAGTTCATTTGACCATAAATATAACATAATAGTGAATTGTCACTTGAAATAGTTATGTTCTTTATACTGTTATAGCATAAATATACCATGATACTTGATAGTAAAGACTAAAGAATCACACTAAGTAACAATTTGCTTCCATACAAGAATGTAACATCATTGTGATCTTATTAAATAGCACATTGTGCAATATGTGCTTAAGAACATAAAATATATCATAAAAAAAACAATGCAATCAATTTTGTAATATAGATTTAACATAACATTGAAGAATGCATTGTTACAATTTACTTCAGAGCATAAATGTATCAAAGCAGTGAAGGGTCAATTAAATTGCAGTGCAATATATTTGGAGTGAAGATATATAGTAACAGTGAAGGATCTCAAGACATAAGTATACTCAGAACATGATTGTAGCATGCTGGCATTTGTAAAGGATGACATGATAACTATGATATCTATTGATATATATTGATATATATTGTTTTTCTTTACCTTGTTTATTCATGAATTTTATTCTTCTGTTTGCAGGACCTAGGCCTTATGTGACTGTGAATGAGAAAGGAGAGAGAGTTTACCACTGTGATGGATGTACCTGTACATATGAGAACAATCAGCAATTCTTTTTATGTATGAAGAGTCACTATGGTGAAAATCCATTGATATGTCAGACATGTGGAAGCAGGTGGAATACTATTCATGAATGGACAATGCATATGATGTCACACACTAACATAAAGAGCTATGAATGTCAGTACTGTGGTAAAACACTTAAATGCCGAAACGCCTATCTGTGTCATATAAGATTGGAAGAAGGCAAACAGCCATATGTCTGTGAAATTTGTGGACAGAGGTGCAATACTAGTGGAACTTTAACCGGTCATATGTCCTCACATAATCCCAAGATGAGCAAATGCAAGATATGTCAGAAAAGTGTGAGATCAGATTTATTGAGAGGACATATATTCAAAACACACACTAATACATTTACATGTGACACCTGTGGACGTCATTTTTCTCGGAAAGATAATTTGCAAATCCACCAGAGAATCCATACTGGAGAAAGACCATATAAATGTGAAACATGTGATAAATGTTTCATCCAAATGTCTTCTCTCAATAGTCACAGAAAAACCTGTCTTAAATTGCCCTAAAGAAATGAAAACAAAATGTAACATTAAAAGTGATGGATCAAATTAAATAACAATGCGATATGTTTTGGAAATACATATAACATTATTGTGGAGGATGACCGCAATCACATTATAACGTACTGTAGTTCAATGTGCTTTTAATATTAGGTATACGATAATAGTGAAGGATCATATTCAATAGCATCTAATATGCTTTTGATAATAAATGTATCATAAAACTGAAGTTTCTCTGAAGGAACTCTTTATCTTTGCTTTCACTTTGCATAACATTACATCATTAGCTCATTTTACCATAAATATAACATAATAGTGAAATATCACATGAAATACTCGGAGTTATGTTCTTTATACTGTTATATCATAAATATACCATGATACTTTATAGTAAAGAATCACATGAAGTAACAATTTGCTTCCTTACAAGACTACCCTTACAAGTATGTTACATCATTGTGATCTTATTAAATAGCACATTGTGCAATATGTGCCTCTGAACATCAATGAAATCAATCAATAAAAATTAGGAATCACTGTTAATAACAATGCAATGAATTTTGGAATATAGATTTAACATAACCGTGAAGAATGAGTTGTTACAATATACCTTTGAGCATAGATGTATCAAAGCAGTGAAAGGTCGCATTAAATTACAGTGTAATACATATGGAGCGAAGATATATAATAAGGACCACATGATATTGATGAGGCTGTAGTGTTCTGGGTACTTGTGCTCTTTGATAGGCAAAAGTAAGAGTAACAAAACTAAGTAGATTTGTTGTTGGCTATACAATATGATGACCTAATTTTATTAAACAAATATAGACTGAAAAGCAGGTGTTTAATCGACGAATACACCTCGCATGGCTAGGCACAAATGTTTTGTGTACCCTGAATGACAGAAGAGAGTGAGGGGTTTTGATAGCTTTAATGGCTAGCCCTAAGGGGTGTATTTGTCAATATTTAACCTGCTCCAAGGTCTATATTACAATTCAAACATGAAAATTCACCCAAAATATTTTGACTATTCATTTAATGGTCCGTCATTATTTCTGCTAGCACATTACTCGTATTACCAGGGGTAGTGTTGCCAAATATACACCGGGTGAACTATTGACTTTGTTAACAGTTTATAGAAGGCGTGAATACAGTCACATTTGAATATAAATTACATAATGTTATATAACAATAATTTTTGCCAATTTAAACTGTTCAAGTAAATCTTATTCTGTTTCTGTTTTTAGGACCAAAGCCTTATGTGACTGTGAATGAGAAAGGAGAGAGAGTTTACCACTGTGATGGATGTACTTGTACATATGAGAACAATCAGCAATTCTTTTTATGTATGAAGAGTCACCATGGCGAAAACCCATTGATATGTCATACATGTGGAACCAGGTGGAATACTATTCATGAATGGACAATGCATATGATGTCACACACAAACATGAAGAGCTATGAATGTCAGTACTGTGGTAAAACACTTAAATGCAGAAACACCTATCTGCGTCATATAAGATTGGAAGAAGGCAAACAGCCATATGTCTGTGAAATATGTGGTCAGAGGTGCAATACTAGTGGAACTTTAACCAGGCATATGTCCTCACATAATCCGAAGTTTAGCAAATGCAATATATGTGGGAAAAGAGTGAAAAAGCACTTAATGAGGGATCATATATCGAGAACACACACTTTCACATTTACATGTGACACCTGTGGACGTCATTTTTCTCGGAAAGATAATTTGCAAATCCACCAGAGAATCCATACTGGAGAAAGACCATATAAATGTGAAACATGTGATAAATGTTTCATCCAAATGTCTTCTCTCAATAGTCACAGAAAAACATGTCTTAAATTGCCCTAAATAAATGAAAACAAAATGTAACATTAAAAGTGATGGATCAAATTGAACAACAATGTGATTTCTTTTGGAAAATACATGTTATATTAATGTAGAGGATGACATAAATAGCTTCAAAATGGGAGTGTAGTATGGTAGTGGGGGATCACAATCACATTATAAAGTACTGTAGTTCAATGTGCTTTTAATATTAGGCATATCATAATAGTGAAGGATCATATTCAATAGCATCTGATATGCTTTTGATAATAAATGTATCATAAAACTGAAGTTTCTCTGAAGGATATCTTTATCTTTGCTTTTACTTTGCATTACGTTACATCATTAGCTCATTTGACCATAAATATAACATAATAGTGAAATGTCACATGAAATAGTTATGTTCTTTATACTGTTATAGCATAAATATACCATGATACTTGATAGTAAAGACTAAAGAATCACACTAAGTAACAATTTGCTTCCATACAAGAATGTAACATCATTGTGATCTTATTAAATAGCACATTGTGCAATATGTAGGAACATAAAATATATCATAAAAAAAACAATGCAATCAATTTTGTAATATAGATTTAACATAACATTGAAGAATGCATTGTTACAATGTGCTTCAGAGCATAGATGTATCAAAGCAGTGAAGGGTCGCATTAAATTGCAGTGCAATTTATTTGGAGTGAAGATATATAGTAACAGTGAAGGATCTCAAGACATAAGTATACTCAGAACATGATTGTAGCATGCTGGCATTTGTAAAGGATGACATGATAACTATGATATCGAGCATCTGTTTGTTTTTCTTTACCTTGTTTATTCATGAATTTTATTCTTCTGTTTACAGGACCTAGGCCTTATGTGACTGTGAATGAGAAAGGAGAGAGAGTTTACCACTGTGATGGATGTACCTGTACATATGAGAACAATCAGCAATTCTTTTTATGTATGAAGAGTCACTATGGTGAAAATCCATTGATATGTCAGACATGTGGAACCAGGTGGAATACTATTTATGAATGGACAATGCATATGAGGTCACACACTAACATGAAGAGCTATGAATGTCAGTACTGTGGTAAAACACTTAAATGCAGAAACGCCTATCTGCGTCATATAAGATTGGAAGAAGGCAAACAGCCATATGTCTGTGAAATTTGTGGACAGAGGTGCAATACTAGTGGAACTTTAACCGGTCATATGTCCTCACATAATCCGAAGTTTAGCAAATGCAAGATATGTCAGAAAAGTGTGAGAATAGATTTATTGAGAGGACATATATTCAAAACACATACTTACACATTTACATGTGACACTTGTGGACGTCATTTTTCTCGGAAAGATAATTTGCAAATCCACCAGAGAATCCATACTGGAGAAAGACCATATAAATGTGAAACATGTGATAAATGTTTCATACAAATGTCTTCTCTCAATAGTCACAGAAAAACCTGTCTTAAATTGCCCTAAATAAATGAAAACAAAATGTAACATTAAAAGTGATGGATCAAATTAAATAACAATGCGATATGTTTTGGAAATACATATAACATTATTGTGGAGGATGACCACAATCACATTATAACGTACTGTAGTTCAATGTGCTTTTAATATTAGGCATATCATAATAGTGAAGGATCATATTCAATAGCATCTGATATGCTTTTGATAATAAATGTATCATAAAACTGAGGTTTCTCTGAAGGAAATCTTTATCTTTGCTTTTACTTTGCATTACATTACATCATTAGCTCATTTGACCATAAATATAACATAATAGTGAAATGTCACATGAAATAGTTATGTTCTTTATACTATTTAAGCATTAATATATCATGGTTGGAGAGGATTACATTAAGTAACAATGTGCTCCCATTCAAAAATTTAACATCATTGAAAAGCAGATTGAGTAACATTGGAGATACACTTAATTTGGCTCCCATTTTAATTTGACGGATTGTTGGGTTCAGAAAGTCCGCCAAATTAAAAATCCGTCAAATTTTAGATTGGAATTTCGTCCAATGCACCTCAGAAATTAAACTCGATGGGCCCCCTTTCCTGTCAACATATCATCAATTTTATATTATTCTGAAAGAAACACAGAAAATATTTTTGTAAACACCTGTCCTAATGACATAAACATCTTCAAAAATTAAACTTCAGTCCTGAAGCCGCCCAACTATATAGCCACCAATATTTGAAATTGAGCAAATTAGTCAAATTAAGTAGCGGCAAAATAAGTATATCTACAGTATGTGCTTCTGAGCTTAAATTTATTGTTATAATAAGGTACAACACAAATATACCATAGTCGCGAAGAATGAATTCATTGCATTGTGCTTCAGTAACCATAACTGTACATAGAACCTGTGTAAGAGGAACACCATTGGGACCACAAAAAGTGTTCCACGTGGGAGGTGTTCCACTAACAGAGATTCATTAACATGGAATAGATAGGCCATTGGACTTTAAAAACACTGTTCCACTTGTGAGATGTTCCACTTACAGAGGTGTTCCACTTAGCAGGTTCTACCGTATCATAGATGTTCCAAGAAACATTGCAATTCAATTTTATCTGGTAATATAATAATGAAGGATCACATTAATGGATTCTGTTGGCAGGGGTTTGCATCTTCATTTTTCTTGATCATATTCATTGTTTGTTTATGACACTTTAACTTGTTAAAAGTAAATCTGATTCTTCTATTTGCAGGACCAAAGCCTTATGTGACTGTGAATGAGAAAGGAGAGAGAGTTTTCCATTGTGATGGATGTACCTGTACATATAAGAACAATCAACAATTCTTTTTATGTCTAAAGAGTCACCACGGTGAAAAACCATTGATATGTCATACATGTGGAAGCAGGTTTGAAAACATTTTTCATTGGACAAGGCATATGATGTCGCACACTGAGATGAAAAACTATGAATGTCAGTACTGTGGAAAATTGCTTAAATGCAGAAAGACCTATCTAAATCATATCAGATTAGAGGAAGGCAAACAACCATTTGTCTGTGAAATATGTGGAAAAAAATGCACCAGTAATTACAATTTGAAGAGACATTTGATCTTACATAATCCTAAAATGACCAAATGCAAGATATGTCAGAAAAGTGTGAGAATGGATTTATTGAGTGGACATATATTCAATACACACACTAATACATTTACATGTGACATCTGTGGGCATCAGTTTTCTCAGAAAAATAATTTGAAGGTCCACCAGAGAATCCATACTGGAGAAAGACCATATAAATGTGAAACATGTGATAAATGTTTCATCCGAATGTCTCATCTCAATTATCACAGGAAAATATGTCTTAAATTGGTGCATAAGAACATTAATGAAAACAAAATGTTACATAATCAGTGATCATATTAAATAAGAATGCAATTTGTTTTGGAAAATACGTGTAACATTATTGTTGAGGATGACATAAGGCAATGTGCTTCCAAATGGAAGTGTTATATGAATGTAATATGATAGTGAGGGATCGCATTATAAAGTAGTACAATGTGCTTTAAATAAAAGGTATATCATGATAGCGAAGGATCACATTAGACACGCCTAACCATCAACAAGGTACAGTGACAAAATATACCGTAGTACACTTTAGATGTACGATGTCACTGTTTAACTGATTTGAAGCAAAGACAATGATGCAAGTGTGATGTAGGTTTTAAAAAAGTAATCTTGGGAATACTTGAAAGATTTTATGTTTAATTTTGTTTGAATTTGTTTAGGATGACATTTAACTTTCCAATAACGTTAAAAGATTTTCGAACAGTGCTCGATTTTTTTCGTAGTCAATCTACCCACGAAAATTGATCGGTTGGAAAATGTTGGGTTTTTCACATTTCCTTTGATCATTTTTTCCTCTGTTGCTTGAGAGTGTCAATTATTTTTATGAGAATATTTTTCTCTATACTACACAACTTAGGATGGGTGGAGATTAATAAATATTCAAATATATATTGTAATTTAAATTCCCAGTTGAAAAAAGCCTATGGAAAATCATCTCCAATTATCACCTAACTTACTATTGATAATTAGTTGAAAGTTGGGTGTAAAAGTTCACATGCAAATGAGCTAACTATCAACTTAATTAACGGTAAACTACCATCAATATGCAAATGAGCTATATAGTGGTCGATTGTCACTGATTTACGTAAATTAGGTGAAAGTTAGTTGTAAGTTTGATGTAAGTTAATTTCTAATTATCACCTAACTTACTATTGATAATTAGTTGAAAGTTAGCCGTAAGTCAGATTTGTGACTTCTCAATGACTCGCTTCTTTTTTGCTTCCCTTCACCTGGAGATTTTTGCTTCATCTTGAACTATTTTGTGAGGGAATATTCATCTTAATTAGGATTTTTCAGAAAAGACAACATTGAACTTGAACTATTGAAATTTCACAGCAAGAGTAGGGAAAGCCCCATGATTCTATTGATGACATACGATTTCCTTCTTCGTGCACTTCCTTTTGTCGAAAACGTACCCTCCATCTTGGTTTTCAAATTGACCTAGTTTTAAACCAATCAACGATCGACTCGCTAAACCAATCAGTGACGATGTCATCTCAATACAGATTTACATTATAAGCTTATGTCATCTTTTAACCCTTTGGTTTCTCCCCCTCTTTTTCACAGCTATTCTATTTTGCAAATTTTCAAGATTCATGAAAAGCATGTGAAAACATCATTATTACCATCAACAACTAAAATCAGAACACAAACGTTAGACTATAATGTTACATAATAAGGCCGTAAGAGATATAATCAAAAATATGTTTTCAAATGTCTTTGATCTAACAATCATTATTTAGAAGAGCACATTTGGATTACTTGTGAAATATAGGTAACCCATGTTAGTACCTAAATTGCATTCTAAGATTAATATTATATGATCTGATTCAAAAAGATTTTCAAATTCATAAACATTTCAGACAGGATTTAACATACATTGTATTCATGTTCTGCATACCCTTATAATAACGTTGACCAAATGTCATGGTATTATAAACACCATTTAAGTTGTAATTCTCAATTTTTTAAGAGAAATATCTCCCACATGTTTTCTTTTTCCACCATCTTGAAATTAAATGTAAGGGGTTTGTATTTCTAAATCATGGGCCTAATTTACGACTAATTAACATTATAAATCATCCTATATGTTAAATATCAACCAAACATCTACTTCAGAACAAAAAAAGTTTTAATTTACCACTTATTATCACCCTCAAACATTTTCATATCTTAATTATCAACTAAAAACAATAAATCAGCATTAATTTACGTTGAACTTGCTACTGATAATTAGGCCATAATTATCATTGATTTAATTAACGCTTAACTTTAATTCCAATTGCCAGCAGAATTGTTGATAATTAGTTGTAAATTAGTTGGTAATAAGTTGGTAATTAGTTTTATTATCCCATCGAACGAAGCACGTGGCAGCCATCTTGAAAAATGGTGGCCTTTACTCGTTATTTTACGATTTTTGCTGTAACTCGAAAAGTAGTGGAGCGATTTTGTTCATATTTGGTATGTGAATTCTATAAGCCTGACAGCCTGACACACTGTCCTATGACACTTTTGGTAGAAGGCGGCCATTTTGAAAAATTTTTTGAAAAATGGCCGCCATTTTAACATATTTTACTATAACTCGAAAAGTAGTGAAGCGATTTTGTTCATATTTGGTATGTGAATACTATAAGCATGGCACACTGTCTAATGACACTTTTGGTAGTACACTTTTAACGTATTTTACTATAACTCGAAAAGTAGAAGAGCGATTTTGTTCATATTTGGTATGTGTATACTACAAGCATGACACACTGTCCTATGACACTTTTGGTAGAAGGTGGCCATTTTGAAAAAATATTGAAAAATGGCCGCCATTCTAACGTTTTTTACTATAACTCGAAAAGTAGTGAAGCGATTTTGTTCATATTTGGTATGTGAATACTATAAGCATGGCACACTGTCTAATGGCACTTTTGGTAGAAAAATGGCCGCCATTTTAACGTATTTTACTATAACTTGAAAAGTAGTGGAGTGATTTTGGTTATTTTTGGTATGTGAATACTATAAGCATGGCACATGGTCTAATGACACTTTTGGTAGAAGGCGACCATTTTGTAAAATGGCTGCCATTTTTGCTATATACTTTGTTTGTAAAAATGCCATCCATGGCTGTTCGATGGGATTCGCTACGCTTTGGCGTTGCCGTTGTTCTGGTTTTTCAAAAATCAGTAATGTGCGTTGTCAACTCGAATGTACGTTGTCCCTGTAATTGAAAGGAGGAGGGAAATTAGCGCAACAGATTTTGGACAGTTATATGTTGGATTTTGGCCATTTTCTGAGGATTTAAACAATTGCATATGTTAGGCCAATGCATTACCACTTTAAAGGAATAAGTGATTCCTTCAGGGTTTTTTAAGATACCCATTATGGGTGACCAAACTTAGCTGAAAGCAATGATTTTTCCTATGGGAAAATAACATGGAAAATATTGTTTTCCACTTTATCTAAATGGAATCATTTATTCCTTTTAAGGGATTAACTGTGTGTCAAAACGCAACATATTGATGCAAGAAAAATTAAAAAAGCAAGGATGGAAGGGGTTGAAAATCAGAAAAACATTTCAGAAAAAAACATGTGGGTGGGTTGTTTGCATCTACCCTGTCTCAAAGTCAAAATTATTTTATCATTTCTAGAAGTGATTTTCCTGGAGGTGAAACATTCGCCTAACATATGCACCTGTTTAAATCCCCAGGAAATGGCCGAAATCAAACATATGACTGTCCAAAATCTGTTGCGCTAACTTCCCTCCTCCTTTATGATATATATGTATGTAATATTAAACAATGCAATGATTTCATTTCAAAATCCATTTAGGTTTTCATAAGTAACACGTGATCTTTAACAAACATGTTCAAGTATCTGTTTTGCTTTTTTATTTTATGAAAGTATTGTTGTGGTGGTGGTTAATTTGTGCCCATTTGGTGTTAGCTTCCAGCCTTAACTCCCATCCATTGTCTCGGAATAGAATATGTTGAAGACTAGCACTGCCACGGAGTCTGGTTCCATCCTGTTTGATTATAAGGGGTCTGTACCTTACGTTTTGTTAGTTGTTAGTTACATTGATAGATAGATCTATTGATCTATACTAGCATATTGAATATGACCTTTTTAAAATCCTGTTTATGATATATCTGGAAAGTTTCAATAGTTCAATTATATTGAAGTAATTCTGTTATCGTTCTGTTTCAATTTTAAATGCATCTAACCCCCCTGTCTGTTAGTGAAAAATATGCTGTCTGCATTAGGGTTAAATGTGAATTGAGTAAGTTCAATGGGACAACGTACATTTGAGTTGACAACATACACTTATGATTTTTAAATTATAGCCAAAATGTTAATACTTATTAAATCTTCAACAGACCTTAATTGTGCTGTTTAGAGAAACATATTCTCACAATAATCTTTGACACTCTTAGACGACATGGGTGGAAATGATCATAGGAAATGTGTAAAAACACAACGTTTTCCAACCGACCAATTATATGGGTAGATTGACTACGAAAAAAATCGAGCAGTGTTCGAAAATCTTTTAACATTATTAGAAAGTTAAATGTCTTCGTAAACGAATACACAAAAAATCAAACATTAAATCCCTAATGCATTCCTCAGATTATTTTTTTAAAACCTACATCAAACCTACATCATTGTCTTTGATTCAAATCGGTTAAATAGTGACATCATACATCCAAAGTGTACTACGGTATATTTTGTCACTGTACCTTGTCGATGGTTAGGCGTGATTAGATAGATTCTAATATGCTCTGGAAAATGAATGTACCATAAAACTGGAGGATTACATTAAATGAGAATACAATGTATACCCTTTAGAACATGAATCACAATAAATAGCCTTCAAAACATAACAATTTGTCATTTTGCTTCCACTTTGCATTGCATTACATAATTATCTCTTAGACCATAAATATAACATAATAGTACAATTTTGTGTGAAATAGTTTACTCCTCCACATTGCATTCCAAAGGAGGTTGATGTGTTATCTTTCTTTGAGAAATATTCCACAATTTTTGCAGTTAACAGGAGGCAAAGTGTCTTGAATAGCAGAATCTATTACTAGTATCTTGGAAAGAGAGCATAGTTTAAAGGTTCAATTAATGTAGTAGACTAAATGTCTTGGTAAATGATGTGTGCAAGTGAGAAACATGTGGCTAATTGGAAAGGTAAGAGTGGGCTACCCTGCGTGCAGAGTCTAGTTAAACTACAGACGAAGCTCTCTTTTAAGAAGTGAAGTCAAACGAATGCAAATGGTAAGAGGGGGCTAGATAGATGAGTGAATGGGTTTGGAAAGTATAGGAATGTTGTAAAAACTGTAGAGATAGTATTGAGCAGAATTTTGTACAATTGGAAATGAAAAATAAAGTTAGGAAGAAATCTTTGCTTATACAGTGTGTCTCAAAAAAGCAAACAAAAACATTGCAAAATCACAAAACCAGTGATATCTATATTGTTTCCTTTTAGTTGACCTTAAGCCATGTGTCTCTTCTTTCCAATGATATGTCATTTATTCATATGTGACCACAAACCACAAATTAATACTAGTAAATCCTTTTGCACAATGGTCCAGAATCTGCTCTGGACCAAGTTTTAGACATTGTACACTATGACAGAGGATCACCAATAAGGTTGCTGCTCTCTGCCAGAACCCACAAATGATCCAAACAGCTTTGTGTGACATAGCGTGATATGCCAATATCTACTTGCAGAGAAATGATGGGCATGGAAAGTAGTTTGCATGAGTAATAATTCATAAGATAACAGAAAATGATAGTGACTTTAAGAGATGGACTTTACTTTAACTGACTTACATGTAAACGTTAAATAATGCCTCTTCTTTTTTCCATATGTGTGATGTGCTGTTAACTAAACTATCATGGATACTGATAGACTGATACTGATTAGCGCCCGGGGGGTTCACTGTATATAAAACTCGACGGGGGTCCTAGGCTGAAGCCTCAAATATCAATATGTTCCCATACCAATCTGTCAAATTTCAATATGTTCCCATACCAACCAAAATAACTCCCAAAGGCCATACCAAATGTTCAAATATAGGACCAATGCCATACCAAATGTCCAATTATGGGACCAATGCCATACCAAATGTCAAAATGTAGGACCAATGCCATACCAAATGTCCAAATATGGGACCAAGAGCTAAAATTCAAAAGTTGAAGAAGGCCCTGGAAAAGAAGATACTTCGGGAAACGATCCAAAACAACTTCAAATTTGCAACTACTGGACCAATGCCATACCACGATTGTTAGGTAACGTATCTACAACGACCATTCTCATACCAGAAGAGCAAGTCCGACCATTGCCATACCTCAGAAGTCACAAATTTCCGGGCATTCCCATACCAAATCCTAAAATATGGGTCCATTGCCATACCAAACGTTGAAAAAGGTACCCCACATGCGCCGAGGATCCCCGTCAAGGTTTATATGTATTGAACCCCCCGGGGATTAGCGAAATCATTTTTCTAATTTTTCTAATTCTAAATGTATGTGGTGTAAGTGATGTGACCAAAAGTTAATCCTCAGCCCCAATTACATAATGATTTACCTTATTGCATAATAAGGATCAGTTGAATTAGGATTTTCACCCAAGTGTGGAGAAACAATGGTTATTCAGTGGTCCATGCTACTATATTGTTTATTGTTTTTTGAGACGCACTGTATATTAGGAACTTCTGGATCTGTTAACAAAATAAGGGACATTGATGATAAATGGACATTGCTAAAAATTGATTGGATGGTAGCATTATTCTTTAGTCATTTTCTTCATGTTTATTGTCAATAATGACACTTTAATTTGTTTTAAGTAAATCTGATTCTTCTATTTGCAGGACCAAAGCCTTATGTGACAGTGGATGAGAAAGGAGAGAGAGTTTACCACTGTGATGGATGTACTTCTACATATAAAACCAATCAGCAATTCTTTAAATGTATGAGGAGTCACCATGGGGAAAAGCCATTAATATGTCACACATGTAAATACAGAAGTGGCAACTTAGGCGATTGGGCAATACATATGAGATCACACACCGAGATGAAGAACTATGAATGTCAATACTGTGGAAAAACACTTAAATGCAAAAAAAACTATATATTTCATATACAATCCGAAGAAGGCAAACAACCGTTTGTCTGTGAGATTTGTGGACAAAAATACAATGATAGGAGATCCTTAACCAGACACATGACCACACATAATCCAAACATGAGCAAATGTAAAATATGTCAAAGAACATTCCAGAGTAAGCACTTATTAGAAGGACATATATTCAAAACACACACCAATACATTTACATGTGACACCTGTGGCCGTCAGTTTTCACGAAAAGATAATTTGCAAATCCACCAGAGAATCCATACTGGAGAAAGACCATATAAATGTCAAATATGTGATAAACGTTTCATCCAAATTTCTGCTCTCAATAAACACAAGAAAATATGTCTTAAATTGACCTATAAATAATAAGAACAAAAATGTATCATAAAAGTTAAGAATCACAGTTGATAACAATAAACTTGTAGGATATATAATTTAGAAATTAAGTATTTCGTCCATAGTCTCTGAATATGCTGTTTTTCTACAAACATTTTGAAAATGTAACCATTCATATATCATCTCCATTTAAATGAAAAAGATTAATACATGTGAAGCCATTCTGATAAAACTCATATTGCTGGTTCCATAACCATTGCATCTCTTGGAATATACAAAAGCAAAATTGATTTAACAGATTTTAGATATCATTGTCTGATTGACATTTTCCATGATCTCAAACCATTGTCACATCCAACTCAATTTCCAAATACAAAATAGCCAATATGGGTCAAGGAGTGATGTTTATTATGTAACATCTTTTAACACCTTACATAGAATTTGTATTAATGATTACTGTACACATAATTTTACTTTTATATAGGTATTGTACATCAAATTATCAATTGGTGAATCGGTAACAACCTCACATATTTAAATATATATGTAGATGTTGCCTCACATTCATGTAATTATCCATAGTGTACATCAATCAGTTCATCAATTGCTCTGGTAAGTGTTTCATTATCATTTATAACTATGGTATCTGCCATGCTTTAATTAATACATGTGAAGTTATGAGAATCCTCCCTTAAACTGTAACCAAAGTGCTCCTTCGTAATTGGCATTTGTTGCAAAGGTTTTGCCCAGTTAGCATCTTTACAGTACCTGGAGTGTCACTACAAGAATTGTACAGTCAAGATTACCTAGTAATTCAAGTTCTGTAAGCTCTTAAGCTGAATTTCAATTTGTCATCTCTATTTACATTGTACTTTGCATTATTAGAAATCATGCTATATCTTGTACCAATTATTCTAGAAGCAAAATCTTTATTTGAGAGAACTATACATTTGTTCATTTCTCAACTGTTTTAACTAAGTTTCTATATATATATATTTGGTAAATTTTGTGAAAATATTTTAAGTGAAAAAACGATATTTTTCTAATGTTGTTGTGCAAGAAAAAGTTGATTACTTTATATAACTTAGCAGTTCATGAAAGTAGGCACAGTGATTTTAAACCACACAGGTGTACCCCGTGTGGTAAAGGATATCAACATAAGGCAATGATAACCCAACATATGAGCAAGACCCAACAATTCCTTTATATGCCATTTACGGTATGTAGGGTGAAAGGATCCATACTGGTGAGAAGTCATACAATTCCTTTATAGGCCATTTATGTAGGGTAAAAGGATCTATACTGGTGGGAAGTCATACAATTCCTTCATATGCCATTTATGTGGGGTGAAAGGATCCATACTGGTGAGAAGTCATATAGATGTATAGCATGTGAGAAAGGGTTCACTCAGTTATATATTTTTACTTGTAGTTGTCCTATAAAGCTCTAAAATGTCAATTTCTGACAAATTGACTTAGAACTTCTCCATGTTAATAAAATCAGATTTACATATCACACCTTGGTGTATTTAACTTTTTTCCAAATAGACATAAACACTTAGTTTGCTAAAAACTTCCCATATTAAAAATAAAAATTAGGGATCCATGTCCATAATGTTCAACTTTACCTAGTACGTTACATCCTTAAAGAAATGGAAATAAATTATTCAATAAGTTAAGAATCAACTTTAAAAAAGCATTGACAATTGTAATAACTTTATCAGAGTAAACCTATAGAGTATTGAATGTTTGAGCTGGTATCAATTGTGAGTGAAAATTGATTGTGCTAAAATTAATAATTTTATGAGGATTGTTGTTTTAAGAATTAATGTTGAGTTTAAATGTAATTGACCTGAAGAATAATGAATAACAAATGATTTGAAGTTGAATTAAGTTGATGGTTGACGAAAACTCTTTCAGAGAGAATTATTCACATTATTAATGATTGGAACACTTTTTTCATTTCAAACAAGTGCCACACCTCAACCCATCCATTGAGAAATTGTGAAGACTGCATTTTAATTTACATTTGATTGTTAAATATGTTTCAGGTCCAAAACCCTTCGTGCGAGTAGATGAACAAGACAATGTTACATACCATTGTGATTACTGTGACAAAGTTACAATCACTGATGTTAAACTTTACCGCCATATGAGGCAACACACTGGAGATGGCAGAATCTTCAGATGTCGACACTGTGACAAGAGCCACAAGAGCTTAGTGATTTGGAGTAAACATATGATGACTCACCGTAATGAAAAACACTTCATATGTGACACGTGTGGTCAGGCATTTAATAGCTATGTCTCATTGTATAATCATCGAGAAATACACGATCCTTCAAGGTTATTCGTATGCACAGTTTGTGGTGAAAACTTTAAAAATAAAGTATGCATGAAATTACATGAAGATCGCCATAATGATTTCAAGCCTCACACGTGCCCTGAATGTGGCAAGAGTTTTCATAGTAAAACACTTTTGTATAAACACAGAGCATCCCATAATAAGACATATGTATGTGCTACATGTGGAAAAGCATTCAGTCATAGTCATAATCTCAAAGTACATGAGTATCTCCACACTGGTGAAAAACCATACCGTTGTAAACATTGTGGCAAGGGTTTTGCACAGTTGGCATCCCTACAATGCCATTACAAAAGGTGTACATGATGATTTCAAACTCCATTTATGCCTTGATTATATTGTTATATATGATGATATAAGTTATATTCTCCAATTTTTTGGACAGTGTTCGGCATCTGGCATTCGGCAGGCGTTGGTTGGTGGGTGTTACAAATAGCCTAGCATGTCTGCATGTGGTGACATTTTGCATGTTAATGCCTTGTAGGTACATACATTTGTATTAAACCATGAAAATAATGGAAAAAGTTATCCAAATATGAATCACAGCAGCTCTGAGTATTAATATATTATACTTATCCTCAGGTAAAAAGTGTATAGTTCTATTTCTGGCATACGTGATTGATTCACATACCAGAGTTTAAATACCTTTTGAATATATCAACCAAGTATGTATATTTGTGTAATAATAAATAGAAAAGTGATGAAGAGAATTTTCATAAAATTATGTCTTAGAAATAAATGTACATGTATGATATTAAAACATAACAATGGATATAGGAGCCTGCTCTTAACTATTCGTAATTAAGGAATCATTAATTCGTTAAGTGTTAATTTGCTAAGAATAATTTGTTATTAACAGAATAGTCAGCTAAAAATTTAACATGTGAATCTGAGAATCATTATAATGTATAGTTAATGTTATTGTTATTTCATAGCATATGTATGTAATTAAGTAATAAATATTGAAAATAGCAAAATTGAATAAATATGAAATCCAGCATTCAAATTTGCCACCCACATAACATTGCAAAATGTTTTGTCTGCATGAAATCTGCCTTGTTCTCTATCACATTAAAACTAAGACTCCACAAGAAGTTCCAGATGACTCGATCAACTGCATGCAGTTTTATAAATGTTACAAGATGAGCTCTAAATGCCATCTTGCTTGATCAAGCCTTGATTTCTACCTCCATGTTCAAAATCAAACCTGAATAAATTCTCAACAACAGCTATGAAAAACTTAGATCACAATGTTTTCAAAAACACTTCAAGCCTCAAAACCTAAAATATTTTGTATTAAAAATGTTGCTTTTTGTGCTGTCTCTCAACTATGTAGTGTTCTCCAACTAAACAACAGAATCTGAACTTTTTATTGATATACAGTGTTGTAATCCATTGACTGGTCAACATAATTAACTCAAATATGTAGTGTTCTTTTCCAAATGAATAACTGAATTTTTATTGATTGTACAGCGTGTAATCCATTGACTGCTCAACACAATTAGCTCGAATATGTAGTGTTCCTTACCAAGTGAATAACAGAAACTGAATTTTTATTGATATACAGCATTGTAATCCATTGACTGCTCAACACAATTAGCTCGAATATGTAGTGTTCCTTACCAAGTGAATAACAGAAACTGAATTTTTATTGATATACAGCATTGTAATCCATTGACTGCTCAACACAATTAGCTCGAATATGTAGTGTTCCTTACCAAGTGAATAACAGAAACTGAATTTTTATTGATATACAACATTGTAATCCATTGACTGCTCAACACAATTAGCTCGAATATGTAGTGTTCCTTACCAAGTGAATAACAGAAACTGAATTTTTATTTATATACAGCATTGTAATCCATTGACTGCTCAACACAATTAGCTCGAATAGTGTTCCTTACCAAGTGATCAACAGAATCTGAACTTTTTTATTGATAAACAATGTTGTAATCCATTGACTTATATGTTCCAGGTCCCAATCCACTTGTAACCGTGTCAGCAGAGGGTGACATGGTATACCACTGTGATGTTTGCTCCTATACTACTGGCACCAGTAAGGAATTTACAAGACACTTGAGAACACACGAGGGAAGAAAAGGAAGGGGATGCTTCAAATGTAAACATTGCGATCACAAAACACATTGTTTGGCTCACTGGAGCGTACACATGATGAAACATTATGATACAAAACACTTTAATTGTCATATATGTGGAATGAAACTGAAAAGCAATTTAAGCAGAAGAGCACATCTAAAAACTCACGATTTTACACGTTTCGTATGTTCAATCTGCGGAGATGAATTCAAGAACAGAAAATCTATGCTAATACATGAAACCCAACATGGCAATTTAAGGCCTTTTACTTGTCCCGAATGTGGAAAGTCATTTACACATAGACAGCTGTTGAAAAGACACCAGCTGTATCATAATAAAAAATATGTTTGTCACACATGTGGGAAAGCATTTGGTCAAAGGCATAATCTAAAAGTACATGAGTTCCTCCATACTGGCGAGAAGCCATACTGTTGTCAATATTGTGGTAAAGGTTTTGCACAGTTGGCATCTTTACAATGCCATTACAAGAACTGTAGTAATGTAACCCAATTTAAAGCCTCACCATCATAACTTTGTGCTATTGGAAAAATATGAACCCCTAATTTTTATATCAGGAAATGCTAATATGCAAATGTTTATACAATTATAAAGAATTAAATTGTTACAAACAGTTTTCATTGCTAATTTATTTTTCACTTTTTCATGTTTCTAACTATTATGGTTATATTAAGAAAGATGTTTAACATCAGTTGAGTAATGAGGGTGATACAGTGTTTGAGAAAAAATACAATAAATCTAAGCTTCGTAACATTCAGTAATGTCAATAAAAGATGGCTCTGCTCAATAAGAACATTTTGTCAATAGTATACTATTTTCTAAAATACATGTATACTACTTTCAATTACTATGTATTCAGTATGTATGACATCACCTTATACCTAGTACCATGAAATATATTTTAGTTTGTCTTTTTGTACAGTTTGTTCAAAAAGTTCATAACATATTTAAATATGTTTCATTGCATTAAGAGGGTGTATTATCTCCAAACTTTACAAGAGATTTATTTTCATTTTTGCTTCTTGGAAAGTGTTATACATGTATTGTATACATTACAATTAATTTTAGAACAATAATAATCAATAAATAAACCATTTTGTTTTTATGTCACCGCCTGAAGTGGTGACATATTAATATGGTCTCCAACTCTTTTGTTGGTAGCGTTTGGCATTTGGTGGTTGATGTTTGACATTCAGTGTGTCACAAATAGTAGGTGGTGACATTTTGCATGTTTATGCCTTGTTTGTTATTGCACTTTGAAAAATGGCAATTTGTGTATGTTTTTGTCTAGAATTGTCTTTCTTTTTGAGCAAAGTGCAGCAGAAATACATTAAGAATGTCATTACGAGGAATGAGTCAATCATTTATGTTTCAGATTTGAAGAACAGAACAATATAAATTGTGACATTTTAGAGGTAAATATTAGCTTTTCTACAGTGCATTGTTTGAGGACATTATTAAAGGAAATGTTAGCAGAGAGATGCCTAACATGTAAAGATGATAAGATTCATACAATTGTTTGCATTATACATGTTATACATGTATCATTGTCTTGAAAATTGAATTTTCTATATCCATTGGAGTATCTTGTATTTTAACACTATCTAAACTCCAAAATATGAATTGTGTTTACCCTTCCTAGGTAAACTTTTCACTTATAGCCTTATAGTTCCATTAATGAATAAGATTGTGCATTTATTTAATAAATAAATTCAATTAACATATATAACTTCTTCATTATCCAATTTTAACAGATTGATGTCTGTGTTTCAGGACCGAATCCATTGATTACAATATCACCAGATGGACTGATGCTCTACCACTGTTACATCTGCCCTCATACAACTACTACTAGTAAGACATTTACGCACCATATGAGAGGCCACGCAAATGGAAGAGACTGCTTCAAGTGTAGACACTGTGAGCTACGGTTCCACTGTTTGGGAAGTTGGAGTAAACACATGGGCAGTCATGTTGATGCGAAAAACTTTCAATGTGATATATGTGGGATGAAACTAAAAAGCAGATCGACAAAACAACAACATCTTAAAACTCATCAATCATTGAATTTTGTGTGCTCACTTTGCGGTCAAGAATTTAAAACTAGAAAAAGTTTAATTTTTCACGAATTGAGACATAATGATATAAGACTCCATGTGTGCGATGAATGTGGGAAGTCATTTACACATCCCCATTTATTAAAAAGACATCAATCTTATCACAATAAACAATTCAAATGTCAAACCTGCGGGAAAAAGTTTGGCCTTAGGCATAATCTAAAAGTGCATGAATATACTCACACTGGTGAAAAGCCACATTGTTGTCAACATTGTGGCAAGGGGTTTGCACAAACAACATCTTTACAACACCACTACAAAAACTGTAAGTAGTACTAAACAGTTTGAATCATGAACAGTTCAAGAAAACTATTTTAGAATTTAGTTTATTTCAATCAATAAAAGGCCACAGGTTCATAATTTTACAAATAACACAACACATGTTTACATCAATTTAGTAGATAACATAAATCAATTACTCGATTTGAAGTCATTAAATGAATAAATTTTGTTAAGAAGGTAGAATATGATAAAACATCTTGATGTGTTCTTCCCTTAGATTCATAGATGATGGACAAATTAAAATAAAATGATATTTGTCCTCCAAAATATTTATACTGGTATAATTCACAAAGAGGACATTTCAATTTCTAACAGACTAAACACATCAACCCAATCAATGTATCAAGTTCAACTTATACAGTATATGGACAGTGTTTGGTGATAGATGTTCTGTGGTATGCATCTGTAACAAATGGCACGTGACATGACATTTTGCATGTTTATGCCATCTTAATGTTAAACATGTTACATGGTTTGACTTCTTGTGCCAGTTCAGGGAATGCTGCTTACAAGATATAATCTCTCACCAGTGTGGATCCTTGCATGTGTATGAAAATTGCTCTTACAGTGAAATTTTTGCCACAATGTAGACTCAGGAGAATGTTCCTTGTTGATATATATTTTTAATGATATTTTATTCACACTCCTGTGCTGGGAGATATCATATCTGAATAATGAAATAAAGGCTGCTGTTTAATTATTCACACTTTTATGTTTTCTTGAAATTTTCCCTCTGCGGGAAAAGGTGGAATCAAGGATGAGTGTCTGGGTATAGGGACCAGGGTTGTAAGGACTCGAAGTGTAGTGGCGAGACAGGCCCGTAGACAGGGTGGGTCCAAAACAGGCCCATAGACAGGGTGGGTCCAAAACTTTTCAGGGTCTAGGAGGGGTCAAAAGATGTCTCAGTTTGGTGAACGAAAGTTCACCAGTCTACTGCACGTTATGCCTGCTTTAGACAATTTGATATTTTTACATATTGTAGGTTTAAATGTCCTCTTTTGAATATCCATAATTTAATTTGGGCTATGTATAAAAAACCTCCTACCTCATTCCCACCTACCCACCTACGTGGAACATGATACAGTCATTGAAGGGTTCAATTTTAAAGATAATTGAATCTCATAATAGCTCAAATTATTAACATTCTACAATTCTGGCTTTATTTTATGATCATTATTTTTAGACAGATGACAGATCCATAAATAAAGGCATATGGATGCATTTTAATGTGTAATGACCCGGGGGTGCCCCAGGGGAATAAATAACTAACGACCGCGAGCATAGGTCTAGCCAGATAGCTAAACTTGATGCCCTGAGTGGGAATCGAACCCAGCTGGGATGTAGTAGCAACTTGCTATCAAGGGTCCTTACAAATGCATCTATAATTCATCCTAAACTAAGATCTTTCTATATTTTCATAAAAAAATTATTAGCGCAGTACACTGATAAACTTCTTTCTCCAATCAATTCGATCAATGGCAACCATTGGAGGGAACAATCAATCGAATCAGTGTAAAATATTGATGGAACAATCAATTCAATCCCTGTCAGTCAGTGGTGGGAACAATCAATTCAAATAGTGACAACCATATATGGGAACAATCAATCAATCATGGACACCATTGATTGAACAATCAATTCAATCAGTGGCAAAATTGATGGAACAATCAATTCAATCACTGACAACGATTGGTGGGAACAATCAATTCAAACAATGACAACCAGTGGTCAGGTGGTGGGAACAATCAATTCAAATAGTGACAACCATTGATGGGAACAATCAAATACTGACAACCATTTGTGGGAACATTTCATTCAATCTATTACAAAGATTAGTGGGAACAATCAATTCTGTCGCAGACAACAATTGGTAGGAATGATCAATTCAAACTCGGACAGCCATACGTGGAACAATCAATTCAATTACTGACAGCCAAAGGTGGAACAATTAATTCAAACACTGACATCCATTAGTGGGAACAATTAATTCAAACATGTACACTGGCTGCAATATGTGGGAACAATCAATCAATCATGGACAATATTGATGGGAACAATCAATTCAAATAATGTCACCCATTGGTACAGATGAACAATTAATTCAATCACTGATAGTCATTGATGGGAACAATCCATTCAACCATTGGTAAGTGGGAACAATCAATTCAAACACCGACTGACAGCTATGGATGGAACAAGAATTCGACACAATAACTTACAATCCCGGGCCTACAATCAAATTACATTATTGTTTCAAATAATTGGTTTTATCACAAACATTTATGGTATGTACAATCAATGCATTTATTAGTAACAGTCAATATAATTAGTTAGGTTGCAGGATATATAGATGGTGCTGCTGACTGAATAAATTTCTCTAGGCCAATCAAAATTCAGGTTACAAATGACCGCCATTTTAGCCGGAAGTCAACATTTTTGAAAAATATTTAGATTTTTATTCTAATGTAAAGCTGTATGCTGGATACTATGAGGTAGACTATATTTAATTATGATCATTCAATTGATGTGATGTTCAGCATTTATAGATTATCACTTACATTTTCTGCGAATGAATATAAAAGGTCTAACAAAAAGCCAACAAAAAAGTTGTATTTTTTCAACTTTTCATTCAGAGTCAATCAATTCAAGTCAAGTTTCTTTTCATCACACAGATCTGGAGCCATATCTAGTCCCCATTGTAACTAGTCTAGGTACAATAAATAAATAAGAATATTGGACTCGCAACCAAAAATAGTACATCCAAAAAATGACCACCCAAATATAATTTACGACCAGGCTGACCTTTATCATCACGTTCTCCCAAGCATCAAGTGATCAATATTTGCCCTGTAATCTCTTCTTCATATTTGCAGTTTGTTGACTATAAATAGCATTTTTCCGGGACAATTATTTCAAATTTTCAGAGCAGAAAGAAAATGTCAGGATTGGGTAGTTTGATGTTCGATGATGTTCATTTGTCAGTTTATGTCATATCACAACAAACAGCCAACGAAAGCAAATGATCATGTAGCCTAAACAAACAATGGTTATTGTTTCTGCGGGTTAGTCAAGAAATGTCATGTTGTTTCTTTTGTAATCTCTGGTGTGACGTCATCTGGAGTGGCGTCACATTCTCAGAATAGACATATGATCTCTGGCATAGACATTATGAACAACGGAAATTGCTGAAACCAGACATTATCTTTCTGCAATTTAACATTTTTACTAAATGAACTGGATAGAACCATTATTTTAATTTCTTAGGGTGAAGTTCTCTTCAAGAGATTTTTTGGGAAATATTTTGATATGCATGCTACATTTTCTGAAAGTTGATGCATTTAACTCCTAAGATGAGGTCATTCCACTGAATTAACAAATTTGTTTCATCAAAAAACCTGCCTAGATAACCGGTTATTACCACGGTTTGTTTATACTTCAGATGCAATAATCCCCCACGCTGCCACAATGTGTGCCTCTGTTATGAAATTAAAATAATACATAGCAATACAGTGTAATATCTTATCATGGCACTGATAAGTCATAAAAATAAAGATCACTCTCATCAAAATCATCACATCCTGCTTCTCTCAAATAGCTATCTGGAAACAACTACTTGATAAAAAAGTTAAGTGTGTAGTGAGGCCTGGTCATTTCAATCATGGGTATATTTTTAGACCTTGATTCAACCCACCCTTTGACTTCTAACATAATATCAAATACTTTACCTTTCAGATAATGAGATGAACACAAAGGGTATACTGATGTCATGAATACTCCAAGACCACTAGTGATTGGGGGCAAGGTGACGGATATGCAACTGACGTTTGATGCACTTTATGAAGCCAGTCCAAAGCCTAGGGTAAGTGCATGTAGATATATTTTGCTTGGCTCTAACATATCACAAAATGTCTTTTTCGATTATATCAAAACCCTTATAAGCAAACCCTCTATAGTGAGTAGTGACCTCCTCAGGCTTTCCAAATGATCCTATTTTTACCCATTTTACTAAATCATATGTTTTTGACAGTGATGCAAACTGATTTTCAACAGGGTAGCAAGTATTTTTCAAATTTTATGCAGGGTGGAGCACTGATTTGCGTTAATGCTGGAAAAATCGCACTTCTAATCTTTTTTATATGTGAATAGTTTATATGCTTTTTGAAGTAGTTCTATTTTATGTCACCACCACAAGTGGTAAGTGGTGACATTATAGTCTCCAACTTTTTTTTGTGGTAGATGGTGTTTGACAGTTGATGGTTGGTGTTTGGCATTCAGCAACTGTAACAAATGGCAGCTGGTGACATTTTGCATGTTTAATTGCCTTGTTTGTTTATGTCAGCCAAACCAGTCTGCTTTGTTTGCAGGGATAATTATAATCTGTATGTTTGCTCAAATTTGCTGACGGTTTCAAATTTTTTAATTCTTATAATAAGTTCCTAGTTGAAAGCCCATAGTACAATGTAACATCTGTAACAAATTCATAATTTGTAATCCTGACACTTGCCTTTTTGTATTTGTAAATATCATAATCATTACATGATTGTATACATAACAGTTCATTGTATTGTATTTTCACTGTATTTTACGCATTTAAGTACATTCTGTTTATCATATTGTGTATTATAGGTAGTCAAACAATCTGAGACCAAGCAGAGCGTCACAGAATCTGCCTTCAACTCCCTCTATGATGCTAGTCCAATCCCTAAGGTAAAGTACCTGGACATGAATATACCTATACATGTAGATATAGTAGGACTGACTTGAAGGAGTCAGAAAATATGGGTGTAAATGACGACCATCAGAGTGCAAAGTACTTGTTTTACCTATTTTGATTAATGATAGATTTGTCAAAACATCTTTACAAACTTTTGATATGGTGGTAACAGATTCCCAACAAGGAGGCATGTGATTTTCAATGTAGTGCAGAACCTGATTGGTCTAATACATGTACTTTTCCAAACATATGGCTGATTACGATTTGTGTCGGTAAATTGTTATAAGTACAATAATGCATAAGTACAATAAAGCATAAGTACAATAATGCATACATGCTCTCTTATTCTCATTTCAGATTGTTAAAGATAAGCTGAATGATTCAGCATTCTTGAACACATCTATGGGATCTGCAAATAATCCTAACACCAGTCTACAAGACACAAGTCGAGGGAGGTCTGCATGGTTAACCAATCTACAGTGTAATAAGGACAAAGAAGGTTTCCTCACCCCTCTCTCATTACATCCTGTTTCCTGTAACTCAACACAGCACTCTGAAAGCCTCTGTGAAAGGAAGAATCTTGTTGCACCTAATGACGGCATTGTTGAGAGAGTGGATGGAGAGTTAAAACAAAACTGTGAAGAAAATGTCCCCATTGATGAATATGAGGTTGAAGGGGATCCAAGTTCACCGCTAAGGAAATCACCTCAGAGGAATTTAAGCCCTGTGTTTTACTGGGAGAAGGCACGGGCAGATGCGATTCGACAGAAATCAAACCTTGTGTATCGTCACACAGTTCTGTCTCCTACGTCATTTGCATCCACTGACCAATCAGATGACAGTGGTGATGAGGATAATGACGTCAGCGAAGCACCAACCACTGATTTTGTCTCACCGAAAAAAGTGCCGAAATCCGCCATATTCAAAATGATGAAAAATGATTCTACAAACTCAGTTAATGAAATGCAGGACAGTATATTGGACACTAGTAAGGATTCAATGGTCTTAGAACCATCCAAATCAAAAATACCCAGGGAAAAAATCCAGTTGAAATCATTTGATTCATTTCTGGGTGATGAATCTTTAGAGATGGATTCCTCGAATAACGATTCACCACTTGACATGAATAATAGGGTACTGAAGTCAAAACACTTTGAAAGTGCTCTTGTCTTTGGTGTCAAAATTGATAGTAAACAATTGAATAATAATACTGTTGAAAATGTAGAAAAGTCTGATGATGAGGGTTCTGATGAAATAAGTGATGTGGGCGATGTACATCATAAACAAGATCTTCAGTCAGAAACAATTCCAAATGATGCAGCTTCGGAGGAAAGAATAAACTCCAAGCCAATGAATGAAATAGATGACATAAGTAAAAACTGTTCTGATGAAAATCATTCTGATTTAAATGATGTTGAAATTAATGATTACAATAATGAAAACGAACTACCCATCAAAATGAATTTAAACAAAATATTAGATGATGGTTCTGATTCAGATGAAATTCCTGATCAATCTGTGTCCTTTGAAAATTCAGCTAAATATTCAGATGAATATCAGTCAACGACCAAAAACATTGAAGATGAGGAGGAAGATGATGAATTTGAAATTGGTGAAGAACCTCCACATGTCACACATCTCCCTATTCATATGAAGTCCAGAGCTAAACATCTCAATGTGGAAACAGATGATGTCATAACCCCTCTGAATACTAAAAGAGATCGTCGTAGACCCCGTAGTCTAAAAGATCACCTCCATCTCGATGATATTACTTCTACAAACCGCGAGAGTCATAAGAAAAGTGTGCAGAAACGTCAAAGCGAAGCTAATCCAGATAACAGTAAAACTAGAGTTGTTCTACCAGATGAGACTAATTCTGACTCTGATGATAATAAAAATAATTTTGACTTTGATGAAACTGAAAATAATCTTGACTCAGATGATAGTGAACATAATTTTAGCATCATAGGCGCATCAAAACCATCCAGTAAGGTTCAAGCATTGTCATCTATTTCTAAAAACAAAATTCCAAAAGATCCAAGACAGAGTTTGAAAACTGTTAAATCTAGCCAGAAAAGATCTGACAAATCAAGTAATAGGACACTCAAAGAAAATACAAGAATGAAAAACACTGGCACTGTTAATACTACTGGAAGATTTGAGAGTCCTACAAAAAGGCGGAGCCTAAGAAATGTGAAATCTGCAACTAAATCAAAAGGTAAAATTCTGAACGTTTTTTGCATTGACCTGTATGTACAATTTCTTGAATCTTCAAATAAAGTCAAGTGTCATTGTCCTAAACAACACAGTTCGCGCCGACCAGAGGCCGGGCTATTCGGTGCTGGGCTCTTCCCGCTTCACTCGCCGTTACTGAGGGAATCCTTGTTAGTTTCTTTACAATGGCATATCAGACGTAATGAAACATTTGAAAAAAACTTGGATATTTGTATTTCTTGTTACACTCATTTGTGCATTATCGTATCCATTTATGGATGGAAATCATATCATTCATAAAATTTATGATCATATGATATCTTTTATGTCTTTTACTTGATATGAATGTCTTTGAATCTATGCATTTGAATAACCTGATAACCAGTTGTAAGATAAGAAAACATAGTGATGACCAAGTCATGTTATTGTCTCATTTTGATTGTGTCATTATTCAATCTTAATCATTACGCTACCATGTACACTTATAGGTGTAACCAGGGTTGGCGAATCAATGGCATCAGATGAAGATTCTGAAGACAAAAATGAAAACATAGCATCAAATGGAAGTAAATGGAAAAACAATCATGAGGCAACACATAAAGACAGTGAAGTAAGTACTGACTTTCCTTCCGATAAATGACTTGATATAAACATTGAAAGATAGATGGCAATAGCAGTATTAGTTGGGAGAGTTTTATACTATTCCTTTACACCCTATGCAGACAGAGCCTGTGGGAAATATTGGGTGCGGCGCAAATGAGCGGAGGGTGCGGAGCTAACGGTCATTTTTGAATTTAAAATTGGGATATTTCTGAAACTAAGCCGTTTTGGGACTTCAAATATACCAAGATATGTGTATTTGACACCAAATATCAATAAAATTGTGAAAATAGTAGTGCAATTCATTTTATAGCGAAGCAGTATGCCTTAAACATTTCCCAGACCTATATATTTTGAGACTATCCTTTTAATACTGCGTCCCCAGCATTCATAAAAAATGGTGTTCAATATACACTACCCATGCAAATTATTTTTGCATCTTGGAAGCCAGGCAGTATCTGTGTGATTTTATAAAAATTCGGAAATGTTCTTCAGATATGAGCCCCTCTAAATATTGGGTGCGGAGCTACGTTTATGGAGCTGCTCCGCACCCAATATTTAGAGGGGCTCATATCTGAAGAACATTTCCGAATTTTTATAAAATCACACAGATACTGCCTGGCTTCCAAGATGCAAAAATAATTTGTATAGATAGTGCACCTTGAACACCATTTTTATGAATGCTGGGGACTCAGTATTAAAAGGATAATTTCAAAATATATAGGTCTGGGAAAGGTTTAAGGCACACTGCGTCGCTATAGAATGAATTGCCCTACTATTTTCACAATTGTATTGATATTTGGTGTCAAATACACATATCTTGGTATATTTGAAGTCCCAAAACGGCTTAGTTTCAGAAATATCCCAAATTTAAATTCAAAAATAACCGTTAGCTCCGCACCCGCCGCTCATATGCTCCGCACCCAATATTTCCCACAGGCTCTGTCTGCATAGGGTGCTTTATAAGGAGACCAAGGAGGATTGGCTCCCAGGGGCTAAACTCAATATTTTCCAACAATAAAAATGTCAAAATGTCGTTATTTTCAGACATTGTAACTGACTATAATTCAGAATCAACAATCCAAAAGATTGGAACCAATATTTTGATCACATCTTGTCTGTTCAAATTCTGAAGTGTACAAAATCGCGGCTGTTTGAATTTGAATTTGGTAACCATGACATCTTTATATATGGCAGAATATTCAGAGTGAAACTATTGGAGCCAATCCTACTTGATTCAGAGATGCTGAAAAAAACTTAATTTATTTTTTAAATGTTTTCAATTGGATAAATGTAAAACTCTGCCCGCAGCTGGATGTTCTTGTTACTATTCATTTTAACAACTTTTTCCAGAAAACTCAAAAATCATTGGAGATTGTAAACTAGTACAAGTAAATAACTTTGAAAATGTTCTTTTTGTAGAAATTTGAAGACAAGTTCAATATTATATCATGAAATAGTCCTAAGTAATAATATGGTTAAATATGCTGCCATAACAAGGCCCCTCTTGTATAAAAGCAACAGGGTTTTGCACCCATCTCAAATTTTGAAGATTTTGTAGGGTTAGATTCATATGATAATCCATTTTACATATACAGTAATATGGTCCTTGGAAATGAGAAAAGTATGAACTTGAAAATTATTTAAAGTGGAACAGAATTCTAAACCTAAAACAACTATAATCTAACCTTTTTTATTAACCACTTAAGATGGGTCAATTTATACATTAAAATATGAGACGTCAACTGAATATATAATGTTGCCATGGAAACCATGTTTGATATGTTTCAATGTTGAGAATTATGGTTTGAGTAATGATTTTATTGTCACTTCAGCTCATAAATCACCTACTGCACTTATATGACTTGTTATGCTCTATTATTTAAAACATTGCAAAAATCATACCAATGTTATTGTAATTTGTTTTCATTACCATAAAAGTTTTGCAAATGCAGCCCAAAAATCCATCTGCTGTAATGAAGTTCAAATAGACATCTCTGAAAAATAGTGAAGTTCAAATGATGTTTTCTAAAAGTTTAATATATCAATATTTTTATATTAATGATTATTGGAACACATATTTTATTGATTTGTTTATATGAGGTTGCCTTGTATTTGTTGACAAACAATTTCTTTTTTCAATTTGTTTATAAATCTTAATCCACATCCAAGCCACAACCAAGTTTCACTATATGTGTTAACCCAAAACATATATACACATATTAAAATGCATGGTCTTTCTGGATGGTTTGATATTTAGTTGTTTCTCACTCAGGCCATACAAATGAATTGCCTAATAGATTGGCAAACATTTGAAGCAATAATCTTCAATTTGTGCACATGTCTAAAGTTATACAAGGGTCTTTATATGCAGTCCTTGTATTTGACCTTAGTTGGCCTTGACATGGCCTTGATATACATGGTTGCTGAAATTGCAGATTCAGTACAATCAATGAGAAGCTAATAGTCTAGAAGAAAGCCAGGGGGGGGGGTTGTTTTGGAGTATATACAATGTTTTATTGCAAAATATGTTGGTCTGATGTGTTCTGATGAAGATTAGACAAATATGCAGTAATGTTACCTTGAGCAATTTTTTCTGCAAGGTCAGCAGAATTTGCAATATTCCATAAGGAGGAATTTTAAGAATCTACTTTTAAGAACTTATATACTTGCTTTTACATGGTTCTAGTGATTTCATGTCATATTTACATGATTAGCTTTAAACTGAACCGAGAAACTGATAAAAATTAATGCCGTGATTAAGTGCTGAGTCAGCGGTAATAGTTATTTTTCTCATTTCAATTGATTTTACATATCTAATCAATTTACAACCATATATTTGGACTTGGATGGTCAAAACTTAATGTTTCAAAGAACAAGGTTACTCTTTTAACTAAAATGTCAACTTTATTCAAAATATAATATGCTGATGTCAGCAAAATACTTCATCAAATTAGTAAAGCAGTCAGTTTCACACCAGGTGGCTGATTCGGGGGAAATAACATGGCAGGGTATTACAAAATTCCTTTAAACTTGAATATTCATCAGTTTTAGTGGTTCGCTCTTCACATTACCCTTATGTATGTGATAGTCATACAAATTAAAATATGTCCAGTAAGAGAAAATATTATCTGCCCAACACAAGAAAAGATATTTCACTTTTTGTGGTTTTACAATATGGGGTCTATTGGGAATCTCCCCGACCTAGAAGTCACATTTTCTCAGAAAAATAAATTTTCATAATTGATAAACTCTTTGCAAAACCACATTTCTAGATGTAATTTTACATGTAGATTCCAAATATGACATCAGTTTGACTGAATTGTGAATTTTTAATGACGTAAATCAAGATTATTTCTACTCGCATACAGGATATTGGCCCTAGAAGCTCTAAGGGGGGGGGGGGGGGGGTTGTTCAAAAGGCCCTCACAGTTAAGGTTTTCTCTAAAACCTTCTAAAGGCATCAGGTAGAATCTTCAATTCCTCAGTAGCTTGAGCTAGAGATACAACAAATGTATTACGAAAAAATCAGCAGAATTGTATGTAGGGTAATTAATTTATTATGATGAAATCATCAGCTCCAAGAGACAAAACCTTATTATATAAACTGAGAATCACTAATTCACGTTCAAACCAGACAAATATACAATCTTAGATCTAGTACGTTCAGAACAAACATGGGAAAATACCCTATAAAGAAGACAGGGTCAAACCTGTGGAACACTTTACCTCATAAAATTACTAATTCTAATACTCTTTCCACCTTCAAAAAATTAAGATTACACTTGCTCAACAATTAACATCATTACTTTAAGAAAGAATCAATGAAGCGAGCAGCCTAACAAAAAATTGTTTCAATTTTCGAATATTTCTGGCTTATGTCATTCCTTTTCATGTCTATGAGGGTTGTCCCAGAAGTAATGCACTATATGCTCTAACTTTCTTTAATATTCTTCAATTCAGCTGAAATTTTGTGTATATTACAATTGAAGTTTTATCTATTATATCCTGAATTTTCAGCATCATAATTGAGTCTTAATATGGTTGCTATAGCAACATGTGGGTAGGGGTGGGTGGGGCAGGTACCAATTTCTCTTATGAAAATATCCAAAGTGTTATTTTATAAATATTTCTTTCTTTTAAATGATCAAAATGTTTGGAAAATTGTTAAATTTATTCAGCATGATGTTTACTAAGTACAAATTATGACATTCAGCACTGTGATGTCATAATATTACAGTTCAATAGTCACAAATTAAAATACAGTCACAGTCAAGAAATTGCAAAAATGGCAGCAATTCTCACCTGATAACAGAAGGCCTTGCGTTTGGTGGCCTAATTTCATACTTCACTTGGACTCACAGCCACACAAAACTTATGCTACCATGAAGAAAGTATACAAAAATTCTCAAAAGTTCATGAATTAAATTAGGTAAGATTTAGCCCATCATGAGAAATCATGGCCTTCATATTTCTTGTTGAAGGCAGAAATATGTGATGAGTATCAGAATGGATTTAACCATTTACTGTGTCCATGTAGACCTATGTAGCATAGTAGTCCCATTCAAATCTAAAACAAGGGCGGGATGTCAAGGAGCAAAATCCTTTCATCAGAATATTAAAACATAGTATTTGCCCATTTAATTTGATTCTTGATAATAGTTTTTTTTTCTGAAAAGTTACTTATTCACAATGAAGCAACGATGTATCTTTTGAATCAATATTTTATAACGAAGTGTATTTTTAGAATTTAAATCTTAAATAAAATAGGATTAGTATCAGAATGAAATAGATTACATTACAATTTAATAAATGAGAAAGGTAGAAACGGTATACTCTTTTATGATCAATTAGTGTTGGCTCATATGGACAAACTAGTGACAAAAATTAATGTCAACTTTACATTAAAAGATAATCTTCCAACATTAACAAGACAAAATGCCACACAGGTTATCGCAATTAAATGAATAGATAGAATTCAATCATTTACGGTGTTAATATGTAGCGTATGTATTAGTCCTGTTCGTATCTATAACAAGAGCAGGGTGTCTAGAACATGTTTAGAACATTACTACAGTAATACTAATTGGCCATTTAATTCAAGTCTGAATGATAGTTTTTTTCTGAAAAGATACGAATTCACAATGACGAAACGGGTATCTTTTGGAATCAATATTCTATAATGAAGTGTATTTTTAAAATTTAAATCTTAAATAAAATAAGATTAGTGTCAGAATGAACTGGATTACATATTACAATTTAAAAAAAGAAATGAAGGAACATTAAATAATTTTAGTTGAATAAAGTAAAATATAAGATTTCATAAGCAAAGTTGTTTTAAAGATCTAATAGCAAAGGTTTTGCAAAAATAAATCAATGCAGTGTAAAACAAATGTATGTATAATGAAGAAATAAATATTTAATGAAAAAAATAGATATGTGTTTGTAATATTGGTATTAACTTAAGATTAAAAAGTGTCACTATCTCTTTCATTTTTCAACAAATATAGGCTCACGTGACATATGACGCGGGGCAGTCAATTTTGATCTATCGTAGACCATATCAGTATCAAACTGCCAATATTTCAACCTCGTCTTGCGAGGCCATTTTTATTTGAAACATCTTGAATTTGGTGTCAAAATAAAGCTGGTCACGCCCGCTTTCAGAGTTATCAATGAATCATTTACTATGACTACTATATTCATTTAGGAGGCGTGTAAAGTTAACCAATCAGAAAGACAATTGCTCCATATATGACAGTTCATTAACATATTCAGTGTTTACTATTGTTTTTCGCGTCATGACAACACGAGTAGTAACCAATCAAAATTCCGTATTTTATCACGTGAGTTCAGAGTGACATGCACGACATGTAAGTTTAGTCTGAGCTGATCGCGATGTTGAACAGTTTCTTCTCGGAATTTGTCCAGAGAAATCAGCGATTCTAAATTAAGGTAGGATCTCCCATTTCTTCCTGTACAAGTTTTAACTTATCTCTATCGAATCCTAAAGTTTTGGATGAAGATATGAAGCATACGTTTAAAAACGAAGCGATTAATTTGACGATCTGATTTTGCAATTTGCAATGGCCAATTTACTGCAAGTCTGCGTGTATTTGACAAGAGATAGCGCCTTGTCTTGTATCCGAATGCTTGTTAAGCCACTCAAAAACAAGATCCATATTTTCTAAATTTGATAACTTTGCAGAGAGCCCGTTTTCATAACCTGTTTTCCGCGTCTAAATTCAAACTGAGTAGGATTATAGGATCGCTGGGATTCTCAGTCAATGGCAACGGGTCTTCATTCCAGAACGCACATTTTTTTAGTTGATTCTCCATCATAGTACTTGTCTAAAGTCCATATCTGCTCTTTTACTGGCATACTTGGACATATTTCCCCTCCTTAAATTGTCCTCCTTAAATAACACCCTCTCGCCGATTTATATATAGCCATTTCCCAGAACCCGGGAGTCAGAATCGCTGATGTTTGCCATATTGAACATGTTGAAATATGTACTGTAATATCTGTAATACTAGGCATTGCCTGCTACGCGTAAGGGTCACGTGACTAGCGCGATACAGGAAAAATGGGGAATTTCGAAACAACAATTTTTGGGCACTTTTATTGCAAATTTCAGGTATTTATAAGTGTTTGTGGTATAAAATATAATCCACAGACATAAATGAACATCCAAACTACATATTTTATTACGTTTTGGAGCCTTTTTTGCTTTTAAAATGACATCTTTAATACTAAATGTGTAATTTCAAGTCTATCTGCTATTACATGTTAAAGGTTATTGTTTTGGAAATTGTTTTGAAGTTATGAAATACTTGTATATGTTTAGGTTCAATTATAGCAGGTGACAATAGATTAATAATACTACCTTTTGAAGTAAGAGTAAAACATAAGCTTACATTTGCAAATGCAACTAACAGCTAGCGACTACCGGATTAACCTACTATTTTATGACCAATTCATTTAAATATGAATGCGGAATAGTGGCAGGTACTATTCATATCTAAATGAGTTGCCCATAAAATAGTAAGTTAATCGGGTAGCCAACCGCGTTAGTTGCATTCGCGAATACAAGCTTAGACTGATATCATAGTGTATTATATTGCACAAATAATCAAATTGAGTTAATGTTAAAAAATATGCATAAAAACACAGTTGTGGTACACTTCTTTTACCCCGATACTCATAATTGAAATACTAGATCATATTTATTCTACTCTAATCTAGGGTTATGTTATTCAAGTGAAATTAACTCCACTTGTAACACATTTATATTTTTAGCTTTACAATGATACCAAATCTCTGTTCTACCAAAGGTGAACCCGTTATAAAAATCAGACAATCGTTACTGCACTTAGTTTACATTGTTCTGGTAGTGTTGATTTAATGACTTAATTTGCATAATTACTGTATTTTTCAGAGAGAGAATGTTCACAGGTAGATATGTATATTGCAAGTCATAAATTAAACAAAAATAACTGATAAGGGATTTTTAACTCCATTTAAATACATGAATACTACCAAATGTGCCACGCCCCCTTTCAGAAATATTACATAATTTTAAAAAGACAATAGAAAAAAACACTCAACCTTCCACAACTGCATATTTGTGGCTTTTTGACCAGGACATGTCTTACTATCAAAAAATGCAATAAAACATTGTATATACTCCAAAACAAGGTTCAGTAATAAATCCTTTGTTTTCATCTAGACTATAAAGCTGTTTGTACAAAATGAAATCTCTTGAATTTTCCATCTATTTTCTGTCATGTCCATGAACGCTACTTTTGATTTTTGAATGATCTGTTATTTTATTATCCCAACAAATGAAGTTTGGTTGGGATATAGTGAAGCCCTCTGTCCGTCAGTTCCATATCTCCAGAAAAAACTAATACTAAGTCTTGTGGATAGATTTTCTTAATATTTGGTGGACGTAACATTTTGGAGAGCTCTGATTCTCTGAAACTGAAATGGGTGTGGCTAAATGCTGATACTTCTTAAGGGTCACGGGTTAGAGTTTGGGGTAAGGGTTAGGGAAGTATCTCTGGTTGTGGACCAAAATTTGTTTAACTGAATATTTTTCAAGCTAGTCACCACTTTAACAATGGTTGGAATTTGTTTTGCTCATTGTAAGGAATTTTTGTTTGTTTCAAGATCTCTGTAAAGTATGATTTTATTATACTCAAGTGTAAGGTATTAGAGTAGATTCCAAATATTACATCCTTTATTCAGATTCAGGCGTAGGCAAATGCATAATGCTCACCCTATGTTAGAATTTGCAGTAATTTGAGATCTTTTCAAAGTATGGCTAAAGTTAGCTACATTATACTCGAATCGAGGATATTTTATTTTAGATAGAGTCAATCACAATTATTGTAGCATTTTTCTTATTTGTGAATTTTAGAATTTTGATAAGACTTATGTTTCAGGCTATATTATACAGAAATATTATATTGTGACATATTTCAGACTGATAGATAATTTGTTGTTTGGTATTTGCAACTCCGTAGAGTTACCAACTTATAGTTTACGAGTCTCTCCAACAGCTTACATAAAGCTGTATAGATGTATAAAGTGATGTATCCCAGGTGAATCATTCAAAGAACATATCATCATCATCATCATCATCATCATCATCTGCATTGGATGAATGAGATAAAATATACCAGCAGAAAATTATTAATTTGTTTCAGCTGCAGTAACCCACATACAGAATATTATAATGCATATATTATTAACTCTACAGCATAAAGGATTAATAAAGTAACAAATATTGGATGTTTTCTATTACTATATATTATACACATATACTGTGTTTTATGATACTGGTATGAACCAAATGTGACTAAAAGAACTATGGTTTTTATTAGAAAGATCACAGTCCTACGATGTTTTGTCATATTCTGCGGAGCATGTACCCTATATATGTTTCTACATGTGCTAGATATGCCAGTTCTTACAGATTTTGATATCCGAGGAATGCCAGTTTCACGAAAGACTTCAAATGCTATGGAAATACCTCAGACACGTGCCTCATATACGAAGAAGAGTAAGGACTCTACAGCAAGAAATGTTAAACAAAATGAAGCGGATCACCTGCAATATGTGAAGCAAAATGAAGTAGATCACCTGCAATATGTGAAGCAAAATGAATATAATCAGACTTATGTGAAATATAATAAATATTATCGCCTAATTGAAACATTATCTTCAGTAGAGATAGTTGATAACAGTGAAGTTTCTTTATCAAGAGGATGGTGGTTTATCAAGGAGGAATACTGGACGAAATATACGGACTGTGCCAATGGGAGCTGTAAGATTGCCTTTGCAGTGCAATGCTTATCCAAACTTCGTGCTCTATACCAGTATCTCCCAATTTTACAAACTGCCCCAATAAGAGGAGTGTATTTCTCTGTGAATAGTTTTAACAAGATATTGATGAAACAGGATAACCCTTTTGGGCATCAGTACACAGCAATGGCATTATTAAAATTTACTGATGGATCAAATCATACAATCCAGTTACAGTTTTCACCACAAGAAGGCCATCAACAGCAGAATGATGTTTACATGTTGCCTAAAGACAAAGCTCCTCTCTCAAGCATATCTCTGAGTCTTGCATGTGCTGGATATAAGGGACCTGTCTCGTTTATGGATGTCAATCTATCACCAATTGTAGATGATGTCACAATGCAGAGTGATCCGAAGGTTAATGATTTCATCGCAAAATGTCCAGAGCAAGCCCCAGTTCCAAATATTGCGACATTTAGATTTAGACAGTTAACATTGAATCATCATATCATTAGCCTTGCAAATGACATCACTCTTGTGACACAAGTCTCTGCTGATAGACTGTATATGTTAAATGATGTCCTTCCTTACTGGGATGGCCCAGTTTCCATAGCAATCTACATTCCTGCATCTCCAGCTGGCAAACCAATATATGATGATGAGTATATAATTCATAAGCTCAAAAATCTTACACAGAGGTGTGAAATCACAATTTTGTACGGAGCATTCTGTAATGAAAAGTATCCAATTAATACATTGAGAAATCATGCAATACGTCATGTACAATCTGAATATCTACTATTATCAGATGCTGATTTTTTACCATCACTTAACTTTCAAAGACATGCCAAATCAGAGATAAATCGATTAAAATTTGTCCTAGATCTTAATGATAATTCTTATACTACAGATATGGATAGAACTGCACTTGTAGCACCAGCCTTTGAGTATTTGAAAAACCCATTCAAATCAAACAACCTAGCAAAATCAAAAGTAGAGCTTAGTCAATTATACAAAAACCAATCTCAAATTAGAATATTCAATGGTGTATGGTCTGAAAACCACAAAGCAACGGACTATGAAAAATGGTTTGAAACAAGTTATTCATACGAAGTGACAGATTATCAAATTAAATATGAACCTTATGTTGTATTAAGAAAACACAGCCAGCTTCCTTTATATGATGAACGTTTTGTTGGGTACGGAATGAATAAAGTAAGTTATCTGATGGAGTTAAAAGCTGCTGGGTACACATTTATTGTGCTCCCTAATTGCTGGGTGTCTCATATACCTCATGAGAAAACTAATAACAATCAGGAGTTCTCTTATGATGCAGTAGCTAGACTCAAAAATAGAGTATTAAGATATGAGTTTATGGCAGATTATACAAGAAAGTATGAGATTGGAGGGTGTTCTGAACCTGAACATGGAGATGATTCATAAATTGCCATGTAACTTTTCATCAGGTAACCATGGTATCTCAGAATGATGTATATATACTTTACATATATGTTTTTTAGCATTTTAAATTATCTGATGGTATCATCTTGCAAATATATAATTTTATCCAATGGATACTAAATATTAATGGGGATAATGACAAAAGATAATTTTGGTATGCGCCATTAAAATCGTATCCAACTCATATGACAATGACATCTTACAAATAGTATCAGTCGGATACCAGTTTTCATTAGTTTTGAATTTGGCGCAAAATAACCACTTGTCTGTTTGATCGGCAACAATATAGTTCCAAGATTATGTGCTCAGTAAAAATGAGTTAAATTATTTCATGCAATTATTTTGTAAAAATGAGCTCACAGAAAATAAAATGAAAAAATTAGAAAAGAATTAGAAAACAAGATTCAAAAGGAAGCTTATTGCATGCATGTTGGAACAAACTTTTATTAATCATTTAATAAAAGAAAAAATGAAGTCCTATGTAGGATATGGACATGCAAAGAGCTAAAGAACTGAATACTCTCAAAGAAAAATATTTAAACTTGTACAAAAATTCATACTTTTGGAAATAGAGGGGAGAACATATTTATTTGATACCCTGTACATGCAAAATTAAATCTGAATAATGTGGTTTAAAAAGATCTTTATCAATTTTAAAAAAAAGGTTTGTTTAAATTACATTTTTATTTTATGGAACAAATAATAATTATATTATACTGAATCCTTTGTAAATAATACATGGGTATAGCAATAAATTCCCTTTATATGTCACTAAAATCTTATATTTTTGATATTTTCTCCTGAAATTTAGAATTAACTTGTATTATGTATTGTTCAGTCTCGAGGCTTTTAGGTTACCATCATGACATTGTGGTTGTGTTATGGTTACATTGGTGTGAAGCATGAATTTTATGGAGTTGATACACTCATTATTTCTTCAATTTGTACACATGTCAAGAATTATACAAAGGTTTTATATGCAGTCTTTCTATTTGACCTTAATTGTTTGACACAAACTTGGTGAAGAAATACAGTCCATTGACCTTGATATGCATGGCGGCTGAATTTGCAGGGTCCATCACACCAAGAAGCTTAACCTGTTTGAATTAAAAAACAGATTTTTGTTTTCATTTTGCATACACTTTCTGTCATGCCCATGAACAATCTTTTTGTTGAATTTTCGGTTATTTGTTCTTTTATTTACCATTTATCATTTTGAGACTCCCGACTGCTTACATAAAGTGAAATATATCTCAGGTGAATCTTTCCCTGAATATATATCATCTGCGTATTGTGCATAATATGAATGAGATCAAATATAGAAGCAGAAAATGATGAAATATTTCACCTGCAGCATATCAAATACATAATATTATGGTGCATATATTATAAGGTCTACAGCATAAAGCATTAATAATTCTTTAATAAAGTAACAAGTATCTGATATTTTATTTTAGTAATAAGAACCAACTATATTATAAGAGCTATGGTTTGTATCAGAAGGATCACAGTCCTACAATGTTTTGTCATATTCTGTGGAGCATATACCCTACATATGTTTCTACACATGCTGGATATGTCATTTCTTACAGATGCTGATATACTAGGAAGGCCAGTTTTTCAAAAGACTGCATATTCTTTGGAAATACCTCAAACACATGCCTCACTTACAAATACTACTAAGGAATCTACAATCAGAAATGTGAAGCAAAATGAAGCGGATCACCTGCAATATGTGAAGCAAAATGAAGCGGATAACCTGCAGTATGTGAAGCAAAATGAATATAATCAGACCTATGTGAAATATAATAAATATTATCGTCTAATTGAAACATTATCTTCAGCAGAGATAGTTGATTACAGTGAAGTTTCTTTATCAAGAGGATGGTGGTCTGTCAAGGAGGAATACTGGACGAAATATACAGACTGCTTCAATGGGAGCTGTAAGATTGCCTTTGCAGTGCAATGCTTATCCAAACTTCGTGCTCTATACCAGTATATTCCAATTCGAAAACTGTCGCCTATAAGAGGAGTGTATTTCTCCGTTTGTAGTATTAACAAGATATTGATCAAAAGGGATGACCTTTTTGGGTATCATTATGGCGCAATGGCATTATTAAAATTTACTGATGGGTCAAATCATACAATCCAGTTGCAGTTTTCACCACAAGAAGGCCATCAACAGCAAAGTAATGTTTACATGTTGCCTATAGATACAGCCCCTCTCTCAAGCATATCTCTGAGTCTTGCCTGTGCTGGATTTAAGGGACATGTCTTGTTTATGGATATCACTATATCACCAATTGTAGATGATGTCACAATGCAGAATGATCCTAAACTTAATGATTTCATCGCAAAATGTCCAGAGCAAGCCCCAGTACCAAATATTGTGACATTTAGATTTAGACGGTTAACATTGAATCATCATATCATTAGCCTTGCAAATGACATCACTCTGGTGACACAAGTCTCTGCTGATAGATGGTATATGTTAAATGATGTCCTTCCTTACTGGGATGGCCCAGTTTCCATAGCAGTCTACATTCCTGCATCTCCAGCTGGCAAACCAATATATAATGATGAGTATATAATTCATAAGCTCAAAAATCTCACACAGAGGTGTGAAATCACAATTTTGTATGGAGCCTTCTATAATGAAAAGTATCCAATTAATACATTGAGAAATCATGCAATACGTCATGTACAATCTGAATATCTACTTTTATTAGATGCTGATTTTTTACCATCACTTAACTTTCAAAAACATGCCAAATCAGAGATAAATCGATTAAAATTTGTCCTAGATCTTCATGATAATTCTTATACTACAGACATGGACAGAGCTGCACTTGTAGCACCAGCCTTTGAGTATTTGAAAAACCCATTCAAATCAAACAACCTAGCAAAATCAAAAGTAGAGCTTAGTCAATTATACAAAAAACAATCTGAAATTAGAATATTCAATGGTGTATGGTCTGAAAACCACAAAGCAACAGACTATGAAAAATGGTTTGAAACAAGTTATTCCTACGAAGTGACAGATTATCAAATTAAATATGAACCTTATGTTGTATTAAGAAAACACAGCCAGCTTCCTTTATATGATGAACGTTTTGTTGGGTACGGAATGAATAAAGTTAGTTATCTGATGGAGTTAAAAGCTGCTGGGTACACATTTATTGTGCTCCCTAATTGCTGGGTGTCTCATATACCTCATGAGAAAACAAATAACAATCAAGAGTTCTCCTATGATGCAGTAGCTAGACTCAAAAATAGAGTATTAAGATATGAGTTTATGGCAGATTATACAAGAAGGTATGAGATTGGAGGGTGTTCTGAACCTGACCATGGAGAAGATTTATAAATTGCCATGTAACTTTTCATCAGGTAACCATGGTATCTCAGAATGATGTATATATACTTTACATATATGTTTTTTAGCATTTTAAATTATCTGATGGTATCATCTTGCAAATATATAATTTTATCCAATGGATACTAAATATTAATGGCCGATAATGACAAAAGATAATTTTGGTATGCGCCATTAAAATCGTATCCAACTCATATGACAATGACATCTTACAAATAGTATCAGTCGGATACCAGTTTTCATTAGTTTTGAATTTGGCGCAAAATAACCACTTGTCTGTTTGATCTTCAACAATATAGTTCTAAGATTATGTGCTCAGTAAAAATGAGTTAAATTATTTCATGCAATTATTTTGTAAAAATGAGCTCACAGAAAATAAAATGAAAAAATTAGAAAAGAATTAGAAAACAAGATTCAAAAGGAAGCTTATTGCATGCATGTTGGAACAAACTTTTAATCATTTAAATAAAAGAAAAAATGAAGTCCTATGTAGGATATGGACATGCAAAGAGCTAAAGAACTGAATACTCTCAAAGAAAAATATTTAAACTTGTACAAAAATTCATACTTTTGGAAATAGAGGGGAGAACATATTTATTTGATACCCTGTACATGCAAAATTAAATCTGAATAATGTGGTTTAAAAAGATCTTTATCAATTTTTTAAAAAAAGGTTTGTTTAAATTACATTTTTATTTTATGGAACAAATAATAATTATATTATACTGAATCCTTTGTAAATAATACATGGGTATAGCAATAAATTCCCTTTATATGTCACTAAAATCTTATATTTTTGATATTTTCTCCTGAAATTTAGAATTAACTTGTATTATGTATTGTTCAGTCTCGAGGCCTTTAGGCTACCATCATGACATTGTGGTTGAGATATGGTTCTATTGGTGTGAAGCATGAAATTTATGGAGTTGATACACTCATTATTTCTTCAATTTGTACACATGTCAAGAATTATACAAAGGTTTTTATATGCAGTCTTTCTATTTGACCTTAATTGTTTGACACAAACTTGGTGAATAAATACAGTCCATTGACCTTGATATGCATGGCGGCTGAATTTGCAGGGTCCATCACAACAAGAAGCTTAACCTGTTTGCACAAAATTAAATAAAAAACAGATGTTCGTTTTCATTTTGCATCCACTTTCTGTCATGCCCATGAACAATCTTTTTGTTGAATTTTTGGTTATTTGTTCTTTTATTTACCATTTATCGTTTTGAGACTCCTGACTGCTTGCATAGAGTGAAATATTATATCTCAGGTGAATCGTTCCCAGAATGTATAATCTGCATATTGTGCATAATATGAATGAGATGAGATCAAATACAGAAGCAGAAAATGATGAAATATTTCACCTGCAGCATATCAAATACATAATATTATGGTGCATATATTATTAACTCTACAGCATAGAGCATTAATAATTCTTTAATAAAGTAACAAGTATCAGATATTTTCATTTAGTAATATAAGAATCAACTATTATAAGAGAAGAGCTATGGTTTTTATAAGAAGGATCACAGTCCTTCAATGTTTTGTCATATTCTGTGGAGCATGTACCCTCCATATGTTTCTACACATGCTGGATATGTCAATTCTTACAGATTCTGATATACTAGGAAGGCCAGTTTTTCAAAAGAGTGCATTTTCTTTGGAAATACCTCAAACACATGCCCCACATACAAATAATACTACGGAATCTACAACCAGAAATGTGAAGCAAAATGAAGCGGATCACCTGCAATATGTGAAGCAAAATGAAGCGGATAACCTGCAGTATGTGAAGCAAAATGAATATAATCAGACCTATGTGAAATATAATAAATATTATCGTCTAATTGAAACATTATCTTCAGCAGAGATAGTTGATTACAGTGAAGTTTCTTTATCAAGAGGATGGTGGTCTGTCAAGGAGGAATACTGGATGAAATATACAGACTGCTCCAATGGGAGCTGTAAGATTGCCTTTGCAGTGCAATGCTCATCAAAACTTCGTGCTCTATACCAGTATATTCCAATTCGAAAACTGGCGCCTATAAGAGGAGTGTATTTCTCCGTTTGTAGTATTAACAAGATATTGATCAAAAGGGATGACCTTTTTGGATATCATTACGGCGCAATGGCATTATTAAAATTTACTGATGGGTCAAATCATACAATCCAGTTGCAGTTTTCACCACAAGAAGGCCATCAACAGCAAAGTAATGTTTACATGTTGCCTATAGATACAGCCCCTCTCTCAAGCATATCACTGAGTCTTGCCTGTGCTGGATTTAAGGGACATGTCTCGTTTATGGATATCACTATATCACCAATTGTAGATGATGTCACAATGCAGAATGATCCTAAACTAAATGATTTCACCACAAAATGTCCAGAGCAAGCCCCAGTACCAAATATTGTGACATATAGATTTAGACGGTTAACATTGAATCATCATATCATTAGCCTTGCAAATGACATTACTCTGGTGACACAAGTCTCTGCTGATAGACTGTATATGTTAAAAGATGTCCTTCCTTACTGGGATGGCCCAGTTTCCATAGCAATCTACATTCCTGCATCTGAATCTCCATCTGACAAACCAATATATGATGATGAGTATATAATTCATAAACTCAAAAATCTCGCGCAAAGGTGTGAAATGACAATTTTGTACGGAACATTCTATATGGAAAAGTATCCAATTAATACATTGAGAAATCATGCCATACGTCGTGTTCAATCTGAATATCTACTATTATCAGATTCCAACTTATTACCATCGTTTAACTTTCAAAGACATGCCAAAACAGAGATAAATCTATTAAAATTTGTTGTAGATCTTGATGATCATACTTATACAGATATGGATAGAATAGCATTTGTAGCACCAGCCTTTGAGTATTTGAAAACCCCATTCAAATCAAAAAACCTAGCAAAATCGAAAGTAGAGCTTAAAAAATTATACAAAACAAAATCTGACATTAGAATATACAATGGTGCAGGATCTGACAAACACAAAGCAACGGACTATGAGTTTTGGTTTGAAACAAGTCACTCATATGAAGTGACAGATTATCAAATTAAATATGAACCTTATGTTGTATTAAGAAAACACAGCCAGCTTCCTTTATATGATGAACGTTTTGTTGGGTACGGAATGAATAAAGTTAGTTATCTGATGGAGTTAAAAGCTGCTGGGTACACATTTATTGTGCTCCCTAATTGCTGGGTGTCTCATATACCTCATAAGAGAACGAATCACAATCAGGAGTTCTCTTATGATGCAGTAGCTAGACTCAGAAATAGAGTATTAAGATATGAGTTTATGGCAGATTATACGAGAAAGTATGAGATTGGAGGGTGTTCTGAACCAGAAGCTTAGGAAAGTAGTAGTCCATCATTCGTAATTTACGACCACTTTTTTTCATTTTACGATTACATGTTTCAATCTGGTAGTCCTGTGTACTAGTGGTGTCAATTAACTGCTTGAGTATTAACCAGTTAACCGGATGTTTTTACCGGTTAAAGTCGGTTAACCGGCGGGAAATTTCAAATGAAATCTTCATCTTCGATCTTGAAAGTTGAAAAAAATTGGAAAAATGATATATCAGCGTTTATTTTTTACGTTCGTCAAGCTTTACTCTGTTCTATTCATACACTACCTGACTACCGGTACCTCTAAATTACCACACTGGTTTACCCTTGGAATCTCCACGAACGCACCATAACAACGAGAATTGCAGCTGATTAGTGTTTATTTTGATTTTAATTTTCTCACTACCAAAGCGAGGCTTTGACCTTTGACATTTTGGCGACGTTGATAGACAACAATAATAACAAAACTGAAGAATTAAAAAATGCATATAATATATTTATGAAATAGTTTTGCAATATGAGTTGATTACACATGGCTGACACTTGAAAAACAAACAGATTAACATGCAAAGTAAGCGTGGGAAAGCAATGTGGCAGGGATTAAAGGTGCTGATTGGATATTTGTAAGGAGTGATCGGAACTATCACATGTATGAGTAGCTCACATGAAACTGATACTTGAAAAACAAACAGATTAACGTGCAAAGTAAGCTCGGGAAAGCAATGTGTCAGGGAATAAAGTTGCTGATTGGATGTTTGTAAGGAGTTATCGGACTTATGACATGTATGAGTAGCTTACGTGAAACTGACACTTTAAAACCAAAGAGATGAGCATGCAGTATTAGCGCGGGAAGTAACAGAATTATACACGGTCAACTAACCACCCATAAAAACACAGACCGGTCAAGGCATTATCGGCGGTTAACCGGTTAATACTTGACACCTCTACTGTGTACCACTTGAAAAATGGCGGCCTTTACTTGTAATTTTACGATTTTTGCTGTAACTCAAAAAGTAGTAGAGCCATTTTGTTCATATTTGGTATGTGGATACTATAAGCAAGGCACATTGTATAATGACACTTTTAGTAGAAGGCGGCCATTTTGAAAAATGGCCACCATTTTAACATATTTTACTATTACTCGAAAAGAAATGGAGCGATTTTGTTCATATTCATTAATTTATTAAAAATATTTATTCTCTAAAATTAAAATCAAATACATAATAACACTTGACACTTTTAATAAGTGTATCAGCGTGAAAACATTTAAATATTAACCTGAGTCAAATGGAAATGAGAAAAAAGAACAATTTAAAAATATTTACTCAGTTAAATGAGAATAAAATTGATAACAATATATAAAATCTACATATATGTTTGTCAGTAATTCAGTTCAGAATAGGTTGATGTCATATGAATTTTAAAATTCTTTTTAAAACAGTTAATGGAAGGTAATGTTTTCAAAGAAGTTGGCAGATTATTCCAAAGCTGAGCACCTGAATATTTTATTGAGTTTTGACCTATAATTGTTCTAAATTTTTTCATGTGAAGGCAATTTTGGAATCTTGTCTCATGTTCATGAAATATCAAATTTGGAGTAAAATAGTTTTCAAATATGTCAAAAGGAAAGCCATCGGGTTTTGTTGTGTATTGATAAAGAAATTTTGCAACTTCAAGCTTATGTATGTCAAAAATATCTAGAAAATTGAGTTGTTTAAAAAGAGGTGGGCTATGTGCTAAAAAGTCAGAATTTGTGATTATTCTCACTGCACGTTTTTGTAACAAAAGCAATTTATTCAAAAAGGTTTTACATGCATTACCCCATATGATGTTGCAATAGTTCAATTGTGATAATATAAGTGAATTATAAATGGTAATCATGGTTTTTGTATTCAATTTATATTTAATCTTTCCCAGAATACCAATAATTTTAGATATTTTATGTATAACCTTATTTATGTGCTCATTCCATTTTAATTTACAATCAATTGTTACTCCAAGAAAATTTGTATGCATTACTCTTTCAAGAATATTACCCCCTATTTTTATATTAAAATCTTGATTTTCATCAATATTTAACTTTGATCTTGTAAATAGCATATAATTTGTCTTGTCTATATTCAAAGAAAGTTTATTTGATTTGAACCATTCTAATGTCTTTTCCATTTCTAGATTTACATTTCTATATAGATCATGAAGGTCTTTGTTTGAACATAAGATATTTGTATCATCTGCGAAAATAGTAAATTTAAGAATATTTGAAACCTTATGTAAATCATTAATATAGAGAATGAATAAGATGGGGCCTAAAACAGACCCTTGAGGTACACCACAAGTGATAATATTTTCTTCAGATAGAGTGTTGTTAAAAGAAGTAATGATTTTCCTATCAGATAAATAGCTTTCAAACCAATTTTTTGCGACATTGCAAATTCCAAAATTTTCAAGTTTTTTTAGAAGAATTTCATGATTTACTGTATCGAAGGCTTTCGATAAATCTAAAAATATCCCAATAGCATAAGTTGAGCTTTTATCTAGAGATATCCTCACTTCTTCCACGAAGGAGAGGATTGCCATATAAGTTGAATAATGTTTTCTAAAACCACACTGATTTTTGAATAAAAGTTTGTATGTTTCAATAAATGTTATTAATCTATTTTTCATGATCTGTTCTAAGAGTTTAGAAAAGACACTAAGTAGAGATATAGGTCTATAGTTTGAAAATTTTGAAGTATTTCCTTTTTTAAAAAGTGGGATAACTTTGGCTGTTTTCAACTTAGTGGGAAAAACCCCTGTATGGATAGACAAGTTTGCTATATGATCAGTTTAAGTCAAAATTGAGGGCTAAAATTGATCAAAATGGTGGATGTATTGAACATCTGTTTATGTAAATAATTATAAATAAAGTTGACAAAAAACTTGGTTTTTAGACTATTTTGCAAGTTTTTGAAAAGCCATTTTGAATCAAAAATGACATAATTTATATAATGGACGCTGGTTAACAGACATTATGATAAATTAGAACACAAATGTACCAAATTAAAGATGAGTAAATTATCTATCCACTGGTATATAATATGACATGTTTTCATCAAGAAAATCAATATTTATTTTTGAAATGCGAGTGTCCCATTTTTTGGACCACCCTGTACTTTGTTTATAAGAATCTGTTCAAAATTCAAATAATTTCATATTAAATGTTGAAATAGATTTCCTAGTTTTTTGTTTTGTACATGTGGCTACAGAACTACATTAAAGTTGTACTAAAACCAATTAAAGAATCTCGTATTATCTTGTTTTTAGCACAAATAGCATCCCTCTTGTTATTTTGACTACAAAGCTTGTGCTATTTCCCCACACAACACGATTTATTAGGATAAGACTGTCAACCTCTGAAATGTTGTTATTTTTGCGCACTTTTTGAGGTCACCTGACCATGACGTACCGTGTGCCAAGTTCTTCTGGCGCTAAATTGAAAAGTTGTTGTTGCAAACTAATACGAAGGCTGAACCAAAGTGGAAATAAACATTAGTTTCACATTTGCACACATTCCAATAGCCAATAGTGATATTATACCCTTTTCAAAATTGATGAGAATAGCCTCAATCATGCAATAATTGGCTCAACATAAGAGTGAATAACTCTATTTTGAAAGCCAGGGTTTCATTTTTATCTACAAAATCGTATTTCACAGCAAATTGTTTCAACCATACATGCCATGTCACATGACGTAAAATTTCTGCTCTGAACATGAAATCGGATTTGCCGCGAAAACAGACTAGTGCTGACTTTATATCCCTGATATCATGATAAAATGAATTTTTGGAATTATTGATGGTTCACCATCATAAAGTGTGGCTACTATACCGTAACATAGCATCAATATCTCTAAATCGAATAAAATGGTTTGAGTACAACTTTAATTGTTTCATAGTCAACAGTTTACGAAAATATTAAGCATCTCAATCAAACCTTTCCTTGCTTGTCAAAAAAATTGCAAAGGTTTTAAATGTAGTTTGTATTTGGTCTTAATTCCTCAGAATTGTGTGTTTGATATAAACATGGTGAATACTTGACATTGTTCACTGACTCTTTATATTGGCAAATGCATAGTGAATTGACACAGTACATTGAGCACAAAAGCCTGTTTATATGTATATGCCAGTATAATACCTTAAGGTCAGGGTGCATGATGGGAAATTTTCTACATTCCTCAATTGAGTCACATGTTATTTTTCAAACAAGAATCACTCCTTCCCTTCATTGTCTATATCTTCCAGTTTTGCACAAAGAGTGCACTTATGTGCCTAGAAAAGACTTGTGAGAAGAATGTTTTGATAAAGTGTATAAAAAACAAGAAAATTCAGTGAAAAAAATCAGAAAATTTTCAGAAATTTTTTTCACTGAATTTTCTCATTTTTTATACATTTTACAAAACAAACCTTCTCACAAGGCTTTTCTAGGCACATAAGTGCACTCTTTGTGCAAACTTGGAAGATGTAGACAATGTGGGGAAGGAGGTATTCATGTTTGAAAAATAACATGTGACTCAATTGAGCAATGCAGAAAATTTCCCAACATGCACCCTGTCCTTAAGGTTGTTCCACATGAAGTCTATTTTCATATATAGATTTTCATATATACAGTTACCAATATTAATGGAATGGGTTTTATTTTTCTAATTATTCTTGTTATTTACTAGTACTTGATGCTTTTATAGAATACATAATTCAAAATCAAAATATAGCCTATTTGTTAAGTTTATGTTGAAATGACATTTCCACAAATTACTGCAGAACTACCTTAATGTGGGTAGTTATATGAATCCAAGCGTCAAATTCCAAAGTATTTATAAGTTGTTGGCTGTGAACCTATAGGTATTTGATAATTGAAAAGTTGAGTGCATACAGTTAGTACAGTAAGGCAAGGACCAGTCACTATATACACTGTTCTGCTTATGCATATTGTGAATATTTTACTAGTGTATACTTGTAGTTTGTTTGGAATATATGTGAAAATGTGAAAGTGGATAAAGATGCAATCAAAGGATGGAATGTAAAAATATGAACACTGCATGGAGGATAACATCAAAATTCAAAATCGAGGAAATAATTGAAAAGTCTGGGAAAATCACCTTTGTAAGCTGTCAGTAAACTTTGAACAAATCACAGCGTAAATGATAAATGGTATAAGTAAATTTGATTACAGGGTAGTTTCTGTATGTTCAGAAATTGTATTGGCTTCCCAGTTGGAATCTCATATTATTTTCAGATACACATTACTCATTTCATACATGGTCTATGTCCTCCAGTTTTACACAAAGAGAACATAAATGTACCTAGATTATATGAGTTGAGGGTAAATATATTCTGCAATAATAATTTATTTTACTTATATATAGAGAGTGCGGGGGGGGATTATTTCTATGTTCCATTGCCTGTGCTGCAGTATATTAAATTTAGAGAATTCAGAGACCTACCTTTAAAAAGTACAAACAACTAGGTCACTGAATTTTGTCATTATTTAGGTACTTGTATATTATTTATAGGCAACTAATAATCTGGGTATATGCACTATTTGTGTTAAAGATGAAGAGCATGTATTAAGGTCTCATGGAAGTTAACAGGAAATGACAAAACAAAAAATGACAAAGCCATGCTGGATTTTGAAAATATTTTGAACCAAGATAACAGAGTTCTGTTTGGACCTCCAGTCAGTTTAACTAGTTCCACATATCATTTACATGACTGGGAACACAATTGAAATGGTCAGAATGACCATAAACATGATAAAATATCCTTTTCAGCCCTCTGAAAATGTGACTGAAAAATAGCTAAAAGTAGGTGCTCAGGAAAGGTCAATCAACAGAATCTTTTGATTTTTTCAGAAAATGTGTCCAAAATATTGCTCTAAATGACACAATCTTTGAAATTTAAAAAAATTGTCTGAAACAATATTGGCTGTAGTAAAAAGGAAAATAGATCAATTTTCAATTCAGTTTTTTTAAATTTTTTCTTTTTCTAAGAATGATATCAGATTTTTTTAAATTGTATCATTTAGAGCAATATATTGGGCACATTTTCTGAAAAAGTCAAAAGATTCTGTTCACTGACCTTTCCTGAGCACTGACTCTTAGCTATTTTTAGTCACATTTTCAGAGGGCTGAAAAGGTTATTCTCTCATGTTTATGGTCATTCTGACCATTTCAATTGTGTTCCCGGTCGTGTAAATGATGTGTGGAACTAGTTAAACTGACTGGAGGTCTAAACAGAACTCTGTTATCTTGGTTCAAAAAATTTTCAAAATCCAGCATGGCTTTGTCATTTTTTGTTTTGTCATTTCCTGTTAACTTCCATGAGACCTTAAATTAGTTGTGTATACCTGAAAATAACATAAGACTCCAATATAAGGAAGCCCATAACATTTCTAAAAACCTGCAACTAAAGCCCATTTCACTGTTTTATTGCGTCAGTACAACCCCAAAAATAAGAAACCAGGAGACCATTGTGCAATAATATAATGGAAAAGTATATTCATATTGTACATGAGTGACATTTGTATATTTCAGATTATTTAGTTTTCTGTGCAATAAGCCTGTGCCCTCTTGTAATTTAAAGAATTTCAGCCATGTTAATCTTTTTGAAAATACTATGGCAGAGGAGCATCAAAATATAAGAGGCCACACACTTTATTAGCCAAACTAGAAGCAATCTATGATAAACAAATGTCATTTATGTATAATAGGAACATATTTTTTCATGTTATTGCATAATGATTTCTTATTTTTTAGTTATTACTGACGCAATAAAGCAGTGAAATGGGCTGCACCTTAGGTCTCGCTATAGTTTTCAGAAAAGGAATGCAAAATGAACAGACCTAAAATTTGTCCATTTTTAAGGTGAAATTAAAGTTAATCAAAAGTACAAAAAGATGGCAGCCATATTTTTTTCATAAAGTCAGAAGATTTTGTATAATGTTTTCCTTGTATGTGCATGCATTTCCTGACTAAACAGAAACGTCAAAGAAAACATCACATTTAAACATATTTTTCAAAACTGTCTCTTTAGTCAGTCAATGCATTCACATATAAGGAAAACAGATACACAAAATCTTGTGACTTTATCAAAAAAATATGGCTGCCATGTTTTTGTACTTTTGATTAACTTTACCGTTACCTTAAACAAAATGTAAATGATAACATAGCACAAATAAATTGATTGAAAGGCAAACGAGAAGTCCTTTATCTTGTACAAACTGTCCATAGACAATCATTTTGTTTATTGGGTGATAATGTTATTTCACTTAGCATAATACAAAACTAAGTCTCCTGACAGCTTACATAGGTTGAAATATTATATTACAGTTGAATCATCCTCATAAGTATTCCAGTGGTTCACATTATAAATATAGCAATGATTTGTATGAGCAGGAGCACAGCCCTGCGATGGATTGTCATATTTTGTGGAGCATGTACCCTACACATGTTCCTGCAAGTGCAGGATATCCCAATTGAGACTGACTTTGATATACTAGAGATGTCTGTTTCTCAACTGTCTGTTGATACTATGGAAATACCTCCTACATACGACTCTGACAATAAGACTAAGGAATATCCACCAAGAAATGTTAATAAGGAATCTTTGGAACAAAATGAAACTGATTCCCTCCCATATGTGAAGCAGAATGAACATTTAAATAATTATATGTATATATATATTCCTTCAGGCAACTTGCCTTCCAATGAGGCTTCTGTGAAGAGAGGTGAAATTAGTCAACTGCAGTATATGAAGCAAAATAGATATTTATACAATCGTCTGAATAGTTCACAACAAAGGGAATATCATCATCTCCTTTCCCTAAAACAAAATGAATATAATCGCAACAATGGGAAAAATGCAAGATATTACCGTTTCATTAACACATTATCGTCAAACAAAATAGTTGATAACAGTGAAGTTTCTTTATCAAGAGGATGGTGGTTTATCAAGGAGGAGTATTGGACCAAATACACTGACTGCTCTAATTTGAGATGTTACATGGCCTTTGCAGTGCAATGCTTATCCAAAGTTCGCGCTTTGTACCAGTATATTCCAATTCGACAAACCGCACCTATAAAAGGATTGTATTTCTCCGTTAATAGTTTTAACAAGATATTGATGAAACAGGATAACCCTTTTGGGCATCAGTACACAGCAATGGCATTATTAAAATTTACTGATGGATCAAATCATACAATCCAGTTGCAGTTTTCACCACAAGAAGGCCATCAACAGCAGAGCGATGTTTACATGCTGCCTAAAGATACAGCCCCTCTCTTAAGCATATCACTGAGTCTTGCCTGTGCTGGATTTAAGGGACCTGTTGCATTTATGGATATCATAATATCACCAATTGTAGAAGAGGCCACAATGCAGAATGATCCTAAACTTAATGATTTCATTGCAACATGTCCAGAGCAAGCCCCACTCCCGAACATTGAGAAATTTAGATTTAGACGGTTAACATTGAATCATCATATCATTAGCATTGCAAATGACATCACTCTGGTGACACAAGTCTCTGCTGATAGACTGTATATGTTAAATGATGTCCTACCTTACTGGGATGGCCCAGTATCTATAGCAATCTACATTCCTGCATCTGAATCTCTATCTGACAAACAAATTTATGACGACAATTATTTAATTCGTAAGCTTAAAACGCTCACACAGAGATGTGAAATCACAATTTTGTACGGAGCATACTATATGGAAAAGTATCCAATTAATACATTGAGAAACCATGCAATGCGTCGTGTACAAACTGAGTATCTGTTATTAACAGATGCTGACTTCTTACCATCAATTAACTTTCAAAGACATGCCAAGTTAGAAATAATTCGATTGAAAAATATTCTCAATCAGGCTGATACCGATAATACATATACTACAAATTTGGATAAAACAGCATTTGTTGCCCCGGCCTTTGAGTATTTAAAGAACCCATTCAAATCAAACAACCTAGCAAAATCAAAAGTAGAGCTTAGGAAATTATACAACACACAGTCTGGAATTAGAATATTCAATGGTGAAAGATCTGACAACCACAAAGCAACAAACTATGAGAAATGGTTTAAAACAAGTCATTCATATGAAGTCACAGATTATCAAATTAAATATGAACCTTATGTTGTATTAAGAAAACACAACCAGCTTCCTTTATATGATGAACGTTTTGTTGGGTATGGAATGAATAAAGTTAGTTATCTGATGGAGTTAAAAGCTGCTGGGTACACATTTGTTGTGCTCCCTAATTGCTGGGTGTCTCATATACCTCATGAAAAAACTGATACTGGTCTCGCGTTTTCTTATGATGTATTCGCAAGACTGAGAAATAGAGTATTAAGATATGAGTTTATGGGAGATTATACAAGAAAGTATGAGATTGGAGGGTGCTCTGAATCTAAACAAAGAGACATTTAATATAAAAATTGTCATGTGACCTTTTCTATGGAGGCCATGGTATATAAGACTGATAAATAAACTGAATGTCATATATTTCTTAAACCAGTGTCTTAAATGTTTTTTTGGTCTGTAAATTAAAGATGCTCTATATAAATAAGCTCCTGGTTTAAAAAATTGGCTATTTGTAAGTCAAATCTATTCAGTGTCTAGCGCTTAGATGTTCACATTTAGGTTCCCTAAAACTATAATATTTTAGTATTCAACATACACACTAGTTAACCATGTTAACATGCGAATGATGGCTTTATACTTTGCAAAATATAACAACCCAGACCCTAGTCATCTTAGACCTATATAATTTCTTATTTAATTGATCTTTAAAATAAAAAGTGTGTAAATGTAAATGTGGTAGCCTCACTTCTTCAAACCCAAGTTAAAGTGAGTAAACATGTGTTGAGTTAAAGAAAATTCAATAATCAAAGTAAACTGTTATCGTAATCGATATTTGTAATTTTTTGATTTATTTTAAATAATTTCCTAAGAAAATGTAATCAAAAATTTGTTTTGAAAAAACATATTGTTATACCTGTATTTTTGTGGTTTGTATTCAGTGTCTAACAAATCTCAGGTGGTGACATTTTGCATGTTAATGCCTTGTTTTATTTGTTTATTTTATCCATCATTTCTGATGTGTTATACATTTTTGATATTAGATTATAAAAAGATTAAAGAACATATATACAGTGAAATTTACAGTACAGTATTTATGTGAGGCCAGGGTCTGGTCTATTTATAAATATTTCATGAATATATACAGATAATTATTAATCTGTTGTACAGAGTGACACAAAAAATGCCACCCACTTATTTTGGAATAACTTTCTCAATAATGAAGGAATCTTCATGATTTTTTGTGTAGATGGAGTGTTCAATGAAGAAAATACTGTTCTACTTGGATAGCATCAACAACTTTGAGATTTAGAGATAGCACGATTTCTGTCCAGGCATGCTCTCGGTGAAATCGTCAAAAAATGTTCAAAAATGCAGTTTTCTGGGAATTAAGATTTCTGTCTTAGCCATTATTTAAGTCATTTCTGTAATGCTTCCACATATTTTATCATTAATATGTCATATCTAGCCATTTTCTTAAATAATTTTGTCAAATTTGATGAACTGACTCACTTATTGGTTAACTTTACAGATTTCTAATTTACATTTTTGTGTGATCGTTTGTTGTCAGAGCATGTCTCCGCAGACAATGAAATATCTCTAAATTTTCAAGTTGTTGATGCTATGCAAGCATAACAATCTTTCTTCCATTGAACACTCTATCTACACATAAAAAAACATGAAGATTCCTGCAATACCGAGAAAGTTATTCCAAAATTTGTGGGTGGCATTTTTTGTGTGACCCTGTAAATAAAGTACATTACTGGCTCCAAATGTAGAACCCATAAAGGTATTTAGGATATTTTATGTTGTATTTAAAAGACTTGAGCAATGGGTGGAGCCATAGTGCCAGGCAATAGTGGTATCCGCCCTGGTCCAGGGTGAATAACGAGTTTGTACTTAAATGCAGTAGGTGGTGATAATACTAAACACCTCATTTTAGCAGGCAAAATCGTGAAATCTTGGCCTTTAGCCTTTGGGCCAAGATTCACTATGTTGCCCTTTGAAATGAGGATTTGGTAAATTCTTAAGATTGCAGCCCTTTCCTCAAAACAACCAGGGTATTTCAAGAGCATGAGATTCAGGGTTTCAGTATTTTTGATATATGTTAATGTAACTGTATCCTTTCCTCTGTTTAGTTTAAATAAAATTGTAAAATACTACTTGATTTTCATTGTTTCTCAGACGGATCAATATTCTGCACTGTTGGAGAAGTAATATTTGGTTCAGATTTTATCTTCTTCTGCTCAAGAATGATTTTTTAAAATGGCTGCTGAATTTATAAGAAATATATTTTCTTCCAACGCATAAAAATGGATATCAGATTTAGTCCAGATAAAGAGATTTCACTCATAAGTGAAAGCATAACTCATGTTTATGTGTATAGCTATACGTTATTAGTACTGTGAATTGAAATGATGTGTATTACAAAAATATGTTCTATACATATAGAAATGAATGAACAATGAATTATTTTCTACTCCAAATTTCTTATTTATAATGTGAATTGGATGGTAATATGACTTTATGCCAAGTATCACTTTGATTCCCTACCAATAATCTTGTCTTAACAAGTATTTTAACTCACTCGACACTCAAACAACCTTTTATAAGCAATGGGTCCTATAAATGGTCACGTAGCTTTAGAATAATCTTCTCAAAGAAATTAATCTCACTTTTCTCACAAGCCCAAAGTGTTATATTCCTTAGGTACCAAAAAGTATACTAAATAGATCAATTGTTGACCTAATTTTGAAGGATTTTAAATATGTTTTCAAACTGAAGAACTGACGATTTAATTAATTAAACATCTGATGTTGAGTAAAATGATTATGAATAAACCCTCTGATATGCAAAAAGTAATTCAAAAGCATTTTTTCTGTATTTCCAGGAGGCGTTAGAAGTTAAAGAAACCTTGCTCAATTGGTATATTGTTCCATCCAGGTCCACAATTAAAATACAAGGAGACCGCTTGTAAGTAAATGAACCCATAACTACTCAATTCACAATTATGTAATACATGTACATGTATCTTCAGTGAAAAATTAACATTTTGGGATATCATTTATCCCCAATTTTTTCTAACTGAGGTTGAGTTGACTTGGGGTTGAGTTTTACTTGGTTGAGTTGACTTTGGGTTGAGTTTTACTGGGTTGAGTTGACTTTGGGTTGAGTTTTACTGGGTTGAGATTACCAGGAAACTCATTTTATATGCATGTTTTTTATTTACTTATTTTTTGTAGGTCGGATGGACAGTTGTGGAGTTCAGGAAATATTCGAAGTCGGGTGAACTCTCAAACAGTAAAGAATGCCTCTGGTTCTTTGTATAAGATATCCGGAAAGATGAACACCCAGGCTTCCATAGAGCATGGTAAGATGGATTACTTTTCAATGTTCCTATTAGTATTTAACTCCAAAGGTATTTCTGTTTACATTTTTGAGAGTATTAAATCAATGAATCCATTGAACACCATTGAACATTTTGCTCAATTGGTTCTTCAAAATAGAGTTGCAGCTATAGATTCATTTTCATCCTTTACTCGGAACTCTTGTTTTTATGTCACTACCATGACTTAAAAGGTTGTGATATTTTGTCATGTTGATGCCTTGTTACAGTGTTGTATCTGAATAACGGTATATCAACTGTATACTCTGGTTCAATCAAGGCTAGATAAACAGACGAATGAAAAATAGATTGAATGGCTAAAAATGTACTTATTCCTGTTATTTATAAATCATGTAGCAGATTCATCCATTTCCAGGTTTTCCCTCAATATACATTCATGACTTTTTGCAAGGGATTCCTGTCAACTGGAGAAGTTTGATAAGGTAAGTGAGCATCCAAATATTGAACCAAGTTCGCCCAAGGCTGATTGAGAGTACTGTAAGATCAATTTAAATTGTGTTGTTAAGAAAATGATAGAGCATTGGGTGGTCTCCAATTATCAACAGTTGTGGAATAACGAAGTTAGTTTCATTATGGTGGAGGGAAAAAATGATGGTTTCATCAGCAAAGAGTGCTGATTTTTTATCGCAATTTGAAAACTGCTATATTGTTGTCATCTTGTTAAATTATCGAGTGGAAGACAAATCAACATTTTAAAATTTCGTTAGAGGAGGGGGGGGGTTAAACCATAACAGAATTTACTTCATCTTTTCACAACTGTTGATAATTGAATATCCCTTACCTTAAAGGTAAAGGTGATATGATTTCCTCAAAAATTCACTCATGTGGAAAACCAATTAAAACTATTTTTGTTAAAGTTGACAACCTCCCATTTGACTCCACAGTATCCCGAGTTAATTAAGATATTATGAAACACCCGCTGACAAATTAATGACTGACAAGTTGTCTTTTATTCTGATCAATTAAGAATTTACATGTCAATTACCTACTGTAGGTAGCACTGATGCACTGATACGCCCAATTACTAAGGGTGTCGAGTGCAAATGCTTTGTACATTCCATTGTTAAATTATCATGAAATAAAAAATAAATAAATAATAATAATTCATATGGTGTTAAATGTTTCAGGTCAAACCCTGTGAAAGCAGAGAAGACTAAAAGAATATTGGTTTCCAACATTAATGACACAAAGAAAGGTATTTAGGAAATATGTATGTGTTGCATACACCATTATCGTATGATCTGTAAAATGAAGCCCTCTGATTGGTCAGTTCTTGTGCTGTACCAATCTGTATTGCTACTGAGATGGTCCCCATTGATCGTCTCCGTCACAATACAGAAAATATTGGTACGGATGGGACAATCTCAGTAGCAATACAGAGGATCACACGATAAAAACGTTATTGAATGATTTGAAGTGTAATACAGGATATATCCTATCTCGATTTTCTGTATTGGCACTAGACTTCATCTCATTCCAATACAGAATTTCTTGAAGAGAATATATCCTGTATTGATCATTTACAACTACACCCTATATCACTTTGTATCTCATACTTGATTGGGTTTGGGGTAGATATCACCCGGGAATATATATCGTATCTGAGGAGCGGGCAGGATATATTGTATATGTCCCGCTCCAGGCCAAATGCGGGCAGATATAATATATCCATCCCGCTCCCGGGAATTTTTCAAAAGTTTAAAAAAGTTTAAATATCAAAAGTTTTAATTTTGAAATTTAATTTTTTTAAGTTCAAATGTTACAATTTCATTGTATTGAACAAAAAGAATATTACGAAAATGTTAAATATAAATATCTTGTCATTTGAAAAAGGTGGAAAAGGTTATATCTACCCTAAACCCACTCAAGTATGAGATACACCAGTTATGCACGGTCGGTTTGGATACAAGGAATATCCCTTGGGATATACAATACATCTATATATATTGTATATCCCTCGGGATATTCCCTGTATCCAAAACCTCCCAGTGCATAACCCCTATATATCAAGATGAGTAGTCCCAGGATCAAATATCCATTATTGAACATTGGTTTTCTTAAATGTTCCAAAGAAACATTATTTGAGTTATTATTTATTTATTAGTATTTGCACTCTCATAATGTGCCATGAATATTTTATAAATAAAAGCAGAAAATGCATTGGAAAGATATTATACTTGTAAAAAGTTTGTGAACCTAATGCACATTCAAAAATTATTTTGATATTTTCTCAATAGAATATTTTTGATATATGCACTGATATGCCCTCTTATAGGTGTCTAGAGCTTCCTTTGTAACAAAAAATACAACAAAATAAAAATACAGTGAAGCCTGTGTTGGAGAAACAACTTTAGTACCTCTAAAAAGTGTTCAACTTGGGAGGTGTTCCACTTGTTCAAGATTAACATAAAGTCAATTGGTCATTTAATTAGACTCTGAAAAGTGTTTGCTACTTTCAGAGGTTTTGCACTTTACTGGTTCTACTGTACATTTAATGCATTAACTAAACATTTAGTTCACATGTAATTTGATTATTTGATATAGCTTCCCCAATGATTAGCACAAGTGATTTAAAGAAGACACGTAGTGGTCGTATGGTTAAGCCCCAGCTAGCATGGTGGACAGGACAGAGAGTGAAATACTGTGCTGGGGCAGATACAGTTGAGATTGTACAAGAGTCTGCTAATAGCCTGGTGGGCACCCCCAATATATCCTTCACACAAGATAAGGTATAAATGCTCATTTTTGAAAAAAGGCTTGTGTTCTGAAAATCGGATAAATCATTTGCCTTGGTCATATATATTTTTTTGATTATTGTTTCATCAAATGTTGACTTATTTTTACAGGCACCATTTTTATGTGACTTGTATTTCGCATCAACATTTGGCATTTGATGTCAGCATCTGTAAAACATTTTACACTCTCATGATGATATTTTATGATGTTCTTTGCAAATTCAAAATATAAAGGCACTTCGTGGTATTCTTAGACTCACCATTATTATATCAGTCTTGAGATTTTTTCTCAGCTGGGTGCAACTTTCCATTTCACCTATTCCAAGAGATACCGAATCTTGTCAAACTAGCAAGATCTTTCAATTGTCAATTGGTTGCAAATGCATTTTCAAATGGGTTCAATATTATTTTTTGAAATTCTCAATTTTGTGCTATGACCTGTTGCACCTATACTGAAGAGATTACTGCATTGTATGGAATTGTCTTGTAAAAATCTGAATATATTATTTCAGAGACAGAAAAGGTTACGAGAAAAGCATGTCCAGAACATCATGAACCAGTCAAGGAGATCAAATAATCAAAGTCAGTCAATCATAGAATGGAGCTCAAGCTCCGATTCAGACTCTAAAGACAATGAAGGTATAAGCGAAGAAATGAGTTCTTCTAAATCTGAGACGGAGGATAGTTCAGGAGAAATTGATTCCAATTTCCGATCTGTAAAAAAGTTAAACAATTCAAAGAGATTGGATCGACAAAGTGAACACCATTCCCAAACAGATGAAATACTAACTGTGAATAAAAAGAAATCACCATACTCATATGAGAAAAAATCTAGACGATCGCATACAAAAGCAGAAATGGAATTCTCGAATCTTATTGATTCTCCTAAAAATTCCAAGCGAAGTTTGGCCAAAGTCTATGAGAATCAATCAAACACTGCGGGAAGTAAAAACAAGAAGAAAGCTCAAACTAAGAGAAACTCAAAAAATACTTGTAACTATCACCCAGAAAATAATACAGTTGATGCATCTATCAACATTAAAATATCCAACTCTAATATAAATGTATCTGGTTATAATCTTGCTGAGGATATAACTAAGATGATTGACGATCGCAGGAGCAAACGCCTGCAACAGCAAACCAAGGGAAGAAAAACATGCTATACCAAAGCAAAAATTGAAAAAGAGAATACATCTGGATCTAATAATTTTGAATTACATGATGATTATAATGTTAAAACACCACTTGTACGTAGACCACAGAGAGGTTCAAAGACAGAAGCACGGGAACGAATATTTGCATGGAGTATCCCTGACTCGCCATTTTCCCCTGAGTATCTCATGCTTAAAACAAAAAGAAACAGAAATATATCAAAAAAAGTTATAAAATATGACGACACACTTGAGTCAGATGTGGAGAAAGATCACAACTTTTCATCATTGAAACCATGTCTGATAAATTCAAAACCAAAAAGGAAGAGTTCTGAACATAAAGATAAAAGTGCCATGAAAGTGAGAGAAAAGGTGAGATTTGATACAATATCAAACAAAGAAAGATCTCACAGGAGAACTAGAACTAGATCCAATAAATCTCGACCTCTGAAAGAACAAAATGACTCTGCCCAACAAGTGTCCAACACTGCTGAGGATGGAAAGGACATTTGGAATGAAGAGGAAACAGAAAGGCTATACAGGTCAGTCTAATGTTCTAGCCTTAAGAGGTATAAACACAATATACACAGCTTTTTCTTTACATGTTTATGTGTTGAAAAGTGTAATCAGGCACAGATCTTTTAATGCTTTGGCAATGGACATTTAGATACAAGGTCACTTATTACACATTTACCATATTCAAGTTTTCAAGGTAATGATATCCGTAATAAAACCATGTTGCATTAAATGAGAAGTCGCATATAGACAAATCATTGAGATTGAAAATTGAAAATTTTACATGCATTTCTTTTATATTATCAAGTTATATTACTTTATACTAAAAGAAATGTATCATGCTAATACATTGCCCCTTCATTTTAGAGCTGTTAAATCTATACCTGCTACCCGCTCCATGTTCTGGCATGAAGTTGCCAAGAAGGTAGGCAGTAGCAAATCTGCTGAACACTGCCAGGAATTCTACCAGGGCCAAGGAGCTATTGTAGCACATCCGTCAAAACATCACAAAAAGGGTAATTAATTAATTGAGGCTTCATTTGTTTTAAGATATTAATCCGGAGAACATTCAAACTTCCTGTAAAATTACTTTAAGTTGAGCAAATTAGTTTCAAATGAGTGTGGTGTTTCACCTTCAAGTTGAATACACAACATAAACATGTGTGACTAAATCTTTTTTTTCAAAATATGGATCGTATGAGAATAAATTGAAACTGAATGTACCTGCTCAACATGCTATTAAACAGAACAGTTCTTTCAGTCCCAGCACCCAAAGAAAAGAAAGAGGTTGGCCAGTTAACTGGTAAAGCTGGCACAATGAAACGCAAGAGACAGCTTCGTGAATTGATGGAGGAACATGACAAAGCCTATGAAGAAGATATGTTTGAAGCCACTCCTTTCAAGAAGAAAAAAATCATACAGGTACCATATTATCTCTTGAATTATCCATGTGTAAGATTTAAAAGCATTAAGTTTGATGGGCCTGATTTTTTAGACAAAAGTCATATTCAAACTATTTTCAATGTGATAATCATGATTAGTGGAAACACTAATTGATTTCAACAATCCCTATGTGAAGGTGTGCACATCGCTTAACCCTTTGACGACGATAGGCTCCATATGGAGCCCTATTATGTAATACCTTTCAGGACGATAGGCCCCTTTTGGCACCATTATTTTTATTTTCATACATCAATGAAATGACAATATCTCCAGATGTATTCAGTATTTTTACACCAAATGTTGTACTGCTTATGATCCCACCAAACGAATGTCGAGGGGGATATAGAAAAGCCGTCCGTCCATGACTATTCTAGCACTTGTTTAAAGTCTTCAGGAATTTCAGGAAAAAATTGACCCCATTGAGTTCAATACAAATCTGGATTTATTTCTAGGGGGGAGAAGGTGGTCAAGCAAGGGTTCCAAAATTTCTTGGAGGGATGAACCACCAAAACCCACCACTCGCTTGGCCTGCATCTTTCGCCATTCAATTTTCAGGAAAATTGTTGCTTTAATTTGTTGCTTTAAGCCATGTGTGCAGTACTCTAGATTTCCTTATTGTTCAATCACAAAATGTATGTTTAAGGAATATTATTTGGAATTGGAGTGGCCATTTTAAGGATTTTAGAGATTTGACAAACTGATAAATTCTTATAGTAAAACATTTTATTAAATTCAAAGTTAAAAGATCACTATTTGAATTAATGATGTCCAAACTTTTGGAAAAAACATAGAATGGTCTCAATCATAATGTGCCTTTCTTAGGTGACTAATTTTATTTAAATCAGAGTTTCAAATTATTTGAATGTCATAGCTGTGCAGTTATTTGAACTAATGAGAAATAATTATTGAAAAGTAACTAACATTTCTTCAAAATCCTGATTCTCACAAATGCAAAATGTGAACGCATGCTGATTCGAACACTTTTAGGCAGTCCAAATGGTGTTCGGGTGAGATGCTTATTGGCTTAAATCTTTCTGATGCATCAAAGTTTTAATTGCAGATTCCGAACCTTGATGAATCGGATGATGATTTTGACAATTTAGATTCTGGGCTGACCCCTGGGGAGAAATATCGCACCCCCAAAGCGGGCATTCCAGCACGTTTATTGCGCTCTGAACGGAGGACTCCACATTCTTCCATGCCCACTCCTGCTTTTCTCAAATCTGTCAATAGGTAAGAATTTCTATATTATCCCATTTTGCCATGCTATTACACATTTCATCCACCCAAGGATTACATGTGGATGTATATCATGTTGTACAATTTATGGATGACACACATTTGTTTCTCAAAAATGTTAAGGTTGGAACTTTTCCTTTAATTACTTAAGACCCCTTACATTGTATAATGACATCTTAAAAATAGATCCCATAATTCTACCCTTAATCTCTGTTTCTGTACATAGAAAGTGTGTTCATTTACAGCTGTATCACTCAAGTCAATATGTGTGTTTCCAGGTACAATGCAGATCTGTATATAAACAAGTTAAAGAATGCTAGAAAGGGGAGAGCTATTCACAGATATGGGAAAGAGCATATTGAACGACAGGTGAGCAATATATAATTCCCTGGTTTCCTATTGGGCTGAAAAGGGGGCTACATGACAGCATTACATTGTAAATATTCATGTCTCTTCAGTAAAAACTGTTGTTATTGTCCTCAAAGATTCAGAATACCTAGGTACCTTGGAGAGGTAAATTGTTGGGGTGAAATCAAATGGAGGGTTTTCTCCTTTGGGAGACAATGGGATAAAGCTTATGTGGCTACTTAGTAAATGTGGCATTACATGGACACCTAAGCAAACCACCAACCAATAAATCAAACACCAACCCACCATGGAAACAAACCAACCGAATTAACCAAACACAATACACTCTACTATACCTTGCATTTGGTGTTCATGAGCAACCCATTTGGCTTATCAGTAATGATTATGTTATTTGTTTATATTTGGCTGTTCCTTATTAATGGTTTATCGGATGACTGTTAGATGTTAATAAGGTACTTTCAAAAATATACTAAACAATTCAATAAGACAAACCGAGTATCTTATGCATTTCTAGGGGTTAGGTATAGTAGAGTGAATACCACAACAAGAAAGTTTGATCCTAGAAGAGTTTACTCAAGAGATTTTAGAATTTAGAAACTACATGTATACTTCAAGTTAGCATATATCATTTTTACCCCTAGGCCCTGTAGTTGCATGAATAACATAGCTAAAAGATTATCTCAGATTGAGTCCCAGAGTAATAATTTCAATGAGTAAATACTTTTTATATGTTCCAGAGTCAGTCAGATGATACATCGGTGAAGTTGGATATGAACAGGCCAATATTTGATGAAGATGACCACATGGAAGAAAATGCCAATGACTCCGATCAACAAGCAGACTATTATTACTCTGATGATGATTAGAGAGCCTTGAGGCTTATTATGGAAATTATTCTTACCCTTGTAATGATAAACGGGGCTCATTATGGGGACTATTTATTTGATTACATGGGTACAGTGTCCTACAGATCTGGAAATGCCAGGAAAGAAACTCAACACAAATAGATGGCTAAATTGTCAAGGATTTTTGGAGAAAATTGTTGGGAGAAATGTATCAGGGTGAAAAAAAGTTATGCAAATTGATTAAAAAACTTGTTTCTAAAGTTATTGATAGATATATGGACTTTTTGAGGTCATGTGAAAAAAGAGGCTGGACATTGACCAATGGCCAAATTTTGGGAAGATTTCAAAAATTTGGAATGACTAGCTAATGAAAATCGAATCATTAATTTTTAATTTTAGTTATAAAATTTAATATAATTTTTGGTCATAATAACAATGTATAAACTACATTATGAGGGTGGTGAGACAAAAGTGACTAATGTTAAAATAGTAAGCATAGAACCTGTCGATACTGACCTAAACATTTGAATAACGTGACAAATGCAACAATTGTTAAGCATGACGTAGTGGGAATAATATAAGCTTTATACGTATGATATGAGCTTATAGAAGTCTAGATAATGAGCTAGGTAATTCGTTCTATCAAACAGCCTGTAATTTGATCAAATTGAGCCTTCTGTAACTATATGATCTAATAAAGTAGAATAGATGTTACTTGAAAGAGATGAATGTGTTCAGTCAAGCTCAGGGCATTCGATTGTCTAAAATTGCTGAAGACTTGAAAAGCTCTGTCGTGTCTTTTTGAATTGGTGAATTTTCTAGTTCTCTTGTAATTGTGATTTATGGTTGAAAATATTTATGTATCATAATATGAAAATTTAGAATATTTATAAGTCCATATATGTACAGAGAGGTTATGGATGTATAATGTAGTCCCTGAAAATTGTATATTGTGTACAGAGATGTGAAAAATAAATTGAGACATGGTGTATTCTATGGCCTTGTATAATATGTACTAGTATGTAAATATATTAATGTAAAGGACAATGGTGCTGAAAATAGTATTGATAATTTGATTAAATAATTTGAAAATTATGAAATAATAAAAATTATGTCGGACTTTAACTTTGCAATTTTGTTTAATTTCTGTTTCACTATCTTATCTCCAGTCAGAGTAAATGATGTTTTCCTAGCTGCAAATATTCTGAAAATGCCTAATTCTTGCCAAACTAGACCAATTTATGTCTATTGACCAAGGGATAATCCCAATATCCTGAACCGACTACAGGATGATCTGTTTATCCCATACCAATCACATTGTCCAATTTGCCACAGTTCCGATTGTCTGCATTATTCTCCATTGTCGTCTACAGTATGCGAACGTTACAAAAAACGAACCAATACGGGAACAGCGATTATGACGTAGCGGGCAGATATACTATATCTGCCCGCTCGGAGCGGGACGTAAAGCTATTTATCCCATACTTGGACGTGTTACAGGTACATAAAGCCGGTTTGTAAAAACTTATATTTTCATCAGCGGGCAGATATAGCTTTACGTCCCGCTCCGAGCGGGCAGATATAGTATATCTGCCCGCTACGTCACAATCGCCGCTCGCATATTTGTTCATAATTTGTAACGTTCGCGTAATGACTGTAAACTACAATGGAGAAAACACAGACAATCAGGATCTGTTTGATGGTTTAAAAATGGGAAGGAGCATCCACTTAATCAATCAAAAATTTGAGAAAATAAATGTGGGAATATTTGAAAGAACAGGAAAATCCGCCCACGGCCAAGAAAACAAAACTGGACATGAATATTCTAAAATATTTCCACAAATGAACAATGTGAACCAGATGACCAAGATTGGTATGGGATAAACATATTATCCTATAGTCGGTTCAGGATATCGGGATTATCCCTTAGCCAATATAATATATTTTCCCTCGGGACCTGCGGCCCTCGGGCAAATATATTATATTAGCCTCGGGATAATCCCAATATCCTGAACCTCATATAGGATAATCTCTATTTATCCCATACTTGCCATATCTGCCCACTACGACATAATCGCTGTTCCCGTATTGGTTCGTTTTTTGTAACGTTCGTGTAATGACTGTAAACTACAATGGAGAAAACACAGACAATCGGGATCTGTTTGATGGCTTAAAAAAGGGAAAGAGCATCCACTTAATCAATCAAAAATTCGAGAAAATAAATTTGGGAATATTTGAGAGAACAGGAAAATCCGTTCACGGCCAAGAAAACAAAACTGGACATGAATATTCTAAAATATTTCCACGATTGAACAATGTGAACCAGATGACCAAGATTGGTATGGGATAAACATATTATCCTATAGTCGGTTCAGGATATTGGGATTATCCCTTGGCCAATATAATATATTTTCCCTCGGGACCTGCGGCCCTCGGGCAAATATATTATATTAGCCTCGGGATAATCCCAATATCCTGAACCTCATATAGGATAATCTCTATATCTATCTGCCCGCTGATGAAAATATAACACGTCCAAGTATGGGATAAACATGTTTATCCTATGCCAAGTAGAGTTTTAGGGAGATAAGTTGGTAAGATATGTCCCGTATCCTGATTTTGAGGTTCCCAGAACCTCCATATCTCCCGCCTCGGTGCATATCTTCCCGCTTCGGTGCATATCTCCCCGCTTCCGGTAATTTCACTGAACTCTACTTGGTATAGGATAAAGCAGTTATGTACGATCGGTTTGGATATTGGATTCATCCCTCGTGAGATATGCACGAGGGATGATATAGTATATTTGCCCGCTACGTCATAATCGCTGTTCCCGTATTGGTTCGTTTTTTGTAACGTTCACATACTGTAGATATGCATATCTCCCTCTGGATAAACCCCATATCCAAAGCCTCCCAGTACATAGCCCTTATATATATATACAGGGTGGGCCAAAAACCAATACCCAAGTTTAAAGATGAATGATTTATATGGTCTATGTCAAACCATGCCATGTATTATATATCATTTCAAAGATAAATCTTTTCCCCAAAAAATGACACCATCCAGTTGAAATACATTTGCTTTCTCATGGAGTTAAAGACTAAAATTGACACCAGAGGTGCCGTGAGCAACCAAAAATCAAAATATGAAAATTTCCCTCCATATTGCAGTCACAGCTGCACACTCAATATGCTTGACTGGATCATCAAAAATTTATTTAAGAGTAATACACAATTTAAAATATTGAAGTATTATTGTTGAATTTTGCACTTTACTTGTATAAATGTACCTCTTTCGAGGAAGCCAAAGTTCAAATTTCCCTCCATTTTCCACAATTTGGAAATCTGCAGTGAATCATTTTTTGGTTGCTCATGACACCCCTGGTGTCAATTTTAGCCTTGAACTCCAGTAAACAACAGTTTTTCAATCAGATGGTGTCATTTTGTTACAAAATGATTTATCTTTAAAATGATATACAATACATGGCAGGGTTTAGTGTTATATTATACAATATTCATCCTTAAACTTGGGTATTGTTTTTTTTGGCCGACCCTGTACATATATTAGTACTTGAATTCTATAAAAGAAACTGAATGTCTAATTGATTTGCTGCTATTTTATTTGAATAATGAATTCATATGAAGCAATTATTACACAGAAATAGCTACATCAACTATTCCAAAATACTGTACATAAGAATCAAATGGAGAAATCTCAAGTACACAGGCCTAAATAAAGCTTGAATTGTGAATAAACATATCGCCTCGATTTCCATTTCTGTTGTTATTAATAAATTGTCATTAACTGCTCATTCAGGCTGCAGACAGCGTGTGTAACGTAATCTTCTCCAGGGTTTACTCTCCGATTGCACCATGTTCTTTGCTATATATTCCACTAACATTATGCAATTTATATTCCCAATGTTACATAATACATGTTCATACACACTCAGTTAAGTATTCCCTGATAGTCATGTGAGAATTATAGAATATTATTCCAATAGAAAGTATATATTTGTGATTGTGAACAAGATTAACTACCAGGTCGATCAATAAGTTCAGAGAAAATTGCACTAAAACTAAGAGTTTCCAAGAGTTTTAACTTTTCACAAGAGGTGTTAATAACAGGCTTGAATTAGAAATTTATTCAAACAGAAAGTTAATATTTGTGATTGTGAAGAAGATAAAATACATGGTATTCTGAGATAGTAACATCCTCATTGGTCCATTGTAAGCTTTATGTGTGTATGTTACTGGTAACTTTACAAGTACATGGTGGCTTAATTTAAATACTTATAATTCAACTTATGGAAAGTATATGTGAACATGTACATTCATTTCATGAAAACATATGAAAATTTAATTATTGCAAAATGTCACCACCTGCCATTTGCTACAGACGCTGACCACCAAACACTGTTCACAAAAAAGTAGGGAGACTACAACAATATGACACCACTTTTGGTGGTGAAATAACAACTAGAAATCCTCTAGTTAAGAATACTATGAACACATTAAGGTATACAATTAAAGGCAAAAAAATATAATGTCATGTCTGATCTCAAATGAGAATGAAGGGCAAGAATATCTATCATATGAGCATGAATTTCAAGTCTATGTTAAAAACTCCTAGTTATTGTCTATTCGTGCTTTTCTGGTCTGTTCACATGACAACAAGTGAGATTAGCAACTTTAATGTGGAGATGATAAGATGCACAACAGGAATACAAATACCCTTTACCACAAATATCACTGTAAAGTAAAGCTCCAGTAAAATTTCAATTAATTGAAACTGCCAAAGATTATTTGCCTTACCAAATTTAGATCCTGGCTCCGATGCTCCTGCCGTTATAACAATTATAAAATACAACTTAATTACAATTGAATTCGTGTTTAGATCTGTAATTAATACTTAAAGGAATATTCCTTGCCAGACCCTTTCTCTCTTGATATGGTAGCTATAATCATATGTAGTTTCCATATTCAGCAAAACATGGGAAAATGTTTTAATATGGTCAATATTGATCATTTAAAAATCTAGTGCTTATTTCCAGTGAGCTGCCATCTTTTAAGATTTCTTGCAGGAAGTGATGTCATCAACTCTCAACTTCTATATCCTTGCCCATAACAGTATAGGAAAATAGCACAAAATCACTTCTAGACAAGTGATCATTACTTTCTGTGCAAAAATATTTTCAGGGCTTGTCAACTTAGAATAAAAGAAGAGATTTTCAGAAGGATTAAATAAGATACAAAGTTGAAAAAGAATATTTAGCTGGTTTTGTAATTCTTAATAGCTCCTCACCTAATGTTATATGCAAAGTTGAGAGTCGATGACATCACTTCCTGTGTGAAATTTTAAAAGATGGCAGCTTACTGGAATTGAGCATCACATTTTTAAGTGATCAAATTTGACCATATCAAAACATTTTTGCGTGTTTTGCTAAACATGGCAAGCATATATATGGTTATAGCTACCATATGAGGAGAGAGATGGTTTGGCAAGGAATATTCCTTTAATTTAAATAATTTAGCACATATTATCTGGAGTTTAATATCACAGAGACAATATTATGACACTATTCACTGTGCTTTTAAATACACTGAAAAATATTTTAATACTCATTAGATATTACAATAAACGTCACAGAATAATGGCAGTTGAGGAACTATTTGTTTGACCCATCTATAACATTTATATACCCTAATAATATGTAAATACAGCACATATACATAAATAGCCATTTTAGGTGACTCCACCAAAACTTTAATTACGATGGTTCATAATTTGGTTTGGAAAAACTGCCTCCTAAAAATGGCACCATGTTTTCGTTGATATGTCCTGAGAAGCTACTGTTGTTTTGGTTACCATGATTACCAGCACCAATGTTCGCAGATGTTGCGGAGTAAAACTGACTAGATCCTAAATCATATGTAGTCCTTTGGTTAGTCTGTTGAGTCCTTTGATTGTTTGTATTTAAAGTGATTCTTTGGAGATTTTGACCAGGCATCCTAGGAGCACTTGGGGTCCCATATGGTGTGCTAGTACTAAGTGGAGTTATTTCAGGAGCTTTCACTCCAATATTGTATGTACTTTGGGGACTAGATTTGCCACTTGATATATATGGGCTATAGGCACCCCCTAGTGGTGGGGGCATATTGTTTAAATGACTATGACTATGATTTAAAGTTGGTTTCAAGTCTGGTAATTGAGCACCAAGATTTACACTGCTATACCCATCTTGTGTTATGCTGGAATTGATTTTGATAGGGGAAACCCCTGGAGTAGAAAGTGTTGTCCCCAGATTTGGGGTTCTTGACATGTGGAAGGTAGACCCACGTGTCCAATCATCTTTGAACGTCTGTATTGTCAGATTTTTTACAACATTGGATAATCTGTTAGCAACGTGTGCGAGCACTAATTGTTCATCTGCATCTCGACGTATCCTGACATGTACAGATCCAGCCTGGAAAAGAAAAATCATCACATCTTCAAATTCTAAAAATCACTAGTTTAACATAGATTGCAGAGTGCTTTATATGGGTTTCAGACCAGGTGCCATTTTTTTGTCCAATACATACTGAAAAGATCAACAGGCCCAAATTAAAAGGAACTGGCCCAGGTACTTGTATTGATTGAATCAACATACAAATTACATACATGTATTGTGCTCTTTTAGGCATTTTATTCATCACATAATGGGTGAGGACTTTGTTCTCTACTAACCAGTACTCCAAATGAAAGTGTCCAAAAATGTTCATTTCTGAACTCAAGCACGCCATCCAGTGTAGATGCTTCTCTAATAGACTTGTCCAGTTGACCAATAATGTGAGCTGGTGTAGTCTGAAATGTTCGAGAACAACAGAGATAAGATTACCATTAAAAACTACATCAAGTGAGAAGTTCAAAATGACAAGCATCTTTCATATCTTTTTTGTACTAAAAGTGCATCAAATTTTTATTGAAAGGTGCCACCAGCAGAGGTGATTGACCCGACCCTGTTCCTTAAGAATAAGTAGCTAGTGCAGAAGATGTGGTGTTGGAGAAGTCCATATCTGTTTGGTCATAGTAATACTTTATCTAGAATTTGTATGATTTGTATGATGATGTAGCCTTACCTGTAACAACATCTTTCCACTATAGATGGCCATAGGAAACATGGTGCCGCAAATCATCACTGCAATCCACAATGCAGCACAAGTGTCAGCTGAGAAATAGTTACTACAAACACAAAATAATATATAAAGGTCAAGTAAGAGTACATCACTGCAATCCACAATGCAGCACAAGTGTCAGCTGAGAAATAGTTACTACAAATACATAACAGTACATAAAGGTCATGTAAGAGAACATGGGAAATACAAGCACTTGTAAGGTAATGTAATAGAGATGCAAAATACAAAGTGCCAATAGCTGAATATAGAATGAAAATATTAAGAGTAACAGTACAACCTTTAAGGTGTAACACCTCTTAAGTGGCCACTTAGCTTAGCCTATAATGCTTTATAAGCGATTGGCAAGCCATTCTTGTAAAACATGATTATGATGAAATAAATTGATAATGTATAAAAAAAAGAAAAAAAGTGGACCACTTTTCAGAACCCAATAATCAATCGACTTAATGTTAAATGAACCTCTGTAAATGGAACACCTCACAAGTGGAACACTTATTACAGGTACCAATGGTATTCCACTTACACAGGTTTTACTGTAGAACAAAAAAACAGCAGAGACCACCAGAAAGATTCATGTCCAGAATTCATCAAATAATCATAGTCATTCTTCCTAATGTACCTGTTTATCTTTAAGCATTTAAATCATGCTACCTTTATGAAAATTCTGTTACTTACTTGATATCAATGAGTATGTACTCCAGGATAAGAGCTAGACTGCCAGCAAAGGCTATTAAAGTAAATGGATTGATCCGAGGAAGAAGTAGCTTGCTTAAACCAGGTACTACATGGCAAAGTCTACAACAAAAATAAAATATGTTGATGCAGTGTACCGTTCATTAAAACAATTCTGTTTTTAACAATTAAGCAACATTTATACATGTACAATGTACATTGTATATTATACATTCAATGAAAGCCATGTGTGCAAATCTCTATTATTAAATGTAATGTGATGACATTTGCCCAAGCAACTTTTTTATACCAGAGATGCATAAGCAAACAAAATCAAACAATCTCAATCTTACTTCAATTTTCTGTTGAGCTGCATTAATATTTCACAACCCCAATATGTTTTTACATAACCTTTGTTTGTCACCTTACAAATGCACAATTTCACTAAATTCAAAATCTAATTAACATCCTAATTTTAATTTCAAATTTCCTATCCAAAAATAACATAATCATAGAAAATATACAACCTAGGCACCCCTGACAACCCCAGGTACCCCTGAAAACTCCAGGCACCCCTGACATCCCCGACAACCCTAGGCACCCCTGACAACCCAAGGCACTCACCCTTCACTCATGTCTGCCACATGCTCCTGCAGCCAGCTGGAGGTTGATGCAGCAATCACATGGTTCATGGCCTTGTTCTCTACACCATAGGCTAGCATCATATGAACCAGGAAGGCAAACAGTGTAGCAATGAGGAGTCGACCACTAAAAGAAAATTAAAATATGCATTTCAGATTTTTGAACGTTTTAAATTCTGAGAAACATCAGTTATGACAAAAATGAATGATGCTAACACACTTGTAACTTAATTTAAAATAGATGTAGATTGGCTATTACCACAAGAGACAAAAAGAAAATAGTAATGCACAAATTAAATAAAGGAGCTGACAGCTATAAATTGCTTTCAATGAAGCTGTTTCACAGTTCTTGATTGCACTTCATTTGAACTTACGTGTGTATTTCTGGCTGTATGATCATTCTCTCAATGCTTTCTTTCATAATGAACAGTGAGCCCAGTTGTGCCAGTATAGTAGTAGCAAATACTGCAATCACCTCAAACCTCTCATACCTACAACAGGTCACCCTTCTTAAGAGCTCAACAACATTTGTGCTCTTTCGCTAGAAATGATTCATTGAGCTATCTTCTGACCAATTAGAATATGTAGTCAGAAAATGATAACAATAGATTTTTCAAACACAAATAGCCGAGTTTTATTTCAATTAATTTTAAAATATTGAAACTTCCAATTAAAGCTATTTTGGAGTTCATTTAAATCTTATGAGTACTAAAGCTGTAAATCATGCTAAATAATCAGAGTGCAGCGTGGCTAGCTAATGGAAATAAAGGGTTTCAACAAGAGATGAATTATGAAAACAAAGATCTCACATATGACGAAAAGACATTATATTGATCATGATACATTTAGATTATAATACACCGCACTAAAAGAGTCCTTATAAATAAAAGAGCTTTAACTTACCCAAAAGAGAAAGCAGGGGATGGAGGCTGTTTCTGCACCCACATGGTCAATAGAATAGTTAGCAAACTGAAACAAACAACCACACTTTAACCAGGATGAATTAATAACATGAGCAGTAAACGACAAAGTCAGATTAAATCTATTTGGATTAGATGACTGGTAATTCTTCATCACATCTTCACTAATGTTCACACGGTGGAAAGTCTAATTTTGGTAGTGCCGGAGCATGACTTTTGACCAGGAAATACATGAATTTCACAGTGTTTACAAGTATTTTTTTTTAAATCGGTTTAATCCCAGACAATATAAACCACCCCATGCCATGGCACAATCCATCATTCTTCTCCAGGAATTTTGTTGAAAGCTTAAGATCAACTTAAATGTCAATAGTTGCATTATATTGGGTTTAAATTGTGATTTTAAATGAACAATGACAAACAGTGTAACTTATACTTTAATGATGACAAGTTCAAATTTACTTGGTTCCAAAATCCTTGTTATGTCTATATGTCAATTATTTTCTTATACCTGGATCAAATTAGTTCACAGGAATTGATAAAATAAAATCTCAATTTCACTAGAAAATAAAACTATTTTAAAATAAAGAAAATTCAAGGATGTGGCAGTGTAAAAATTGTTGCTTTGAATCATTATTATTAATTCCACAAAGAACTACTTAAATTTTACTGGTTAATACAGATCACAAAAAATGTTAAAACAAAATCCATGGGCTTTTATGGGAATAATAATGTGTATACAATATGCTTGCAGAAAGCTGTTTTGACAACACTGTTGACAACACCATGACAACAGTGATTATAATGACTAAGTGTATCTTTACACATCTTCAATGTTGACTCCATCTATGGTGGAAACCTTGCCAGAAATGTCTATTGACTCAAATAGACTGCTTGTAGTATGAATCAATATAAGCTTATTCTCTCTTGTGTGTACATAACAATCTATTACTGAACTTGGAGGTATACAGGTATAAAGATTTAGCGATCAATAATAAGGTATAAGGACTTATCCAAGTGGCTGCACATCACATTCACTTGGTATATATGTATTGATAAATTGGAATATAACAGAGGTAATTATGTATATAGTTAATGAAGCTGTGCCTACACTCATATTCTACAGCAGATATTTTACATATATTATATACTAGTATACATTAATAGTATACATTAAGAAGGATTAGAAGCAGTGACTGTTAACCTTGTATATCTATGGTACAACATCTACAGAAATATACATTATAACATATACTTATTGGATTACATAATTCAACAATGGCAGAATCGTTAGACTTCAGATCATGGTGTCAAACACAGGGCCTAACTGAGAACACAATACACATGTTGCTGAATCACGGTTTTAAAAATCAAGAAACGTTAAGACTTGTAACACAACCTATCATTGATACTGAGTTAAAGACGGAGAACCTTGGTCAGCGCTTACTGCTGAATGAGGCAATTCATAAACTATGGATGACATCAACAAGTGGAAGTGGTGGTCTGATCCAACATGGCAGTGTTATTCCTGGGCCTGCTTCATATATAGCCCCTCCAGCCTATGACAGACTCACTCATGGAAATCAGCCTCCAGGAACTGGTGAATTGTTTCCATTAGAAACATTGTATCCATCAAATACAAGACTTACTCCCCTACAGGGTGTACATCCTCCACCGAATAGCATGACTTTTCCACCTGTACAATCAATCTCTACACCAGAACTACCAATTGGTTCATCGACACAACCAGGACTACCTGCTACCTCAAAAGCACGATCAACTGCTAAACATGCCTCAGTTAAAAAAATACATGTAATTCCTGCACCTAAGAATGCTGCCAAAGTGCTACATGTTACATCTATAGAGGATAAGATTGTTGTAGCCACAGAACAACACCCAGAGAAACACTCAAAAGCAAATAAAACAAAACATGTAAGTGAAATGGCAATTTCTGCACCCACACATGGTGCAGAATTTGTGCACACTCATACATCAATAGATGACAGAATTGCTGTAGCCACGGAACATCATCTAGAAAAACACTCCAAAACAAAAATGCAAAATGCACCTGAGTCGATCCCTGCATCCAGGCATGGTGCAGAATTTGTGCATACTCATACATCAATAGATGATAAAATAGCTGTAGCCACAGAACATCATCTAGAAAAACACTCAAAAACAAAAACGCATCAAGCATCTGAGGTGATCCCTCCAGCCACACATGGTGCAGAATTTGTACATACTCATACAACCATAGATGATAAGATCGTAGTAGCCACAGAACACCATCCACAAGAACATTCAAACACAGCACAAACAGCTAAAGACCCCATCCCTGCACCCACGCATGGTGCTGAATTTGTCCACACTCATACAACCATAGATGATAGAATTGCTGTAGCAACAGAACAACAACAACCACCAAAACAACCAAAGAAGAAAACACCATTTTCCTACGCTAACCCATATGGCAAAGCAATGATCGATTTAACTGGGTTAGCATTTTGGTTTTGTTTCCCTTTGCTAGGAATAAGTATTGCATCCCCTTTTCTGAAAACTTCAACATGGAAGTATTTTACCGGATTATGGGTCTTTATTATTATCTCATTGGCTGTTTGGTATGGGGACAAAATGAAGCAACTACCAGCTGAAAATAATGTTGTTCAGACATTCTTTAAGGTTATGAGCGTACTACTTTTCCTGGCACTCGTAGCTTGTTTAGCTACAATGGCAGTATCAGCGTATGGAATGTACATTGACAGGGAAATACATGTTAATGGAACATCATGTGATGATGAACTTCTTAAGACATTAGAGTTAAAATGCGATAATGTGACAGCTAATGCATCATTTGAAGAGAATGTGACGAGTAAAACACCAACTGAACATAATATAACAAGTAATGCAACATATACAGGACCCAATTTCATAGGATGGAATGAACGCCAAGCCTTACATACTGCTAACATAGTACTAGCTTATGTTGTATTTGTTATAGTTGTGTGGGCACTATATGCTAGACATGATTTAATCGAGGGTTTGCCACAAGCCACTTTCAAAGATGAAACGGAGAAAGGATTCATTAACACAAGTTTCATGTTTAAACTTACGCCCATAACCTTCCCATTGTTGTCTGTACTTGAAGCAATATTCAAAACAACAATGTGGCAACTTTTTCTCCCAGAAATATCTGGTTGTGCCCTTCTCATATCTGGATTCCACGCACATCGTTTACATTTTCTACCACAGGGTGAACAGAAAAAGAAGCGATACAAGGTTCAACTTATATTGTTAATCATTTCCATGGTTGTTGTCCTTACAATGGTTGGTGTTCATGGAACTGGTATTGGTCTGGATGAAGAGATACATGAATATGGAGTCTCCTGTGATGAGATCTACATACAATACTTTAATTATACTTGTGAATTTGAAAATACTGCAGATGAGACTGAATATACAACACATGCTTATCTTAAAACAGAAGATCTGAATTACAAACAGGGAATCCACGTGGGTATTGTAGCATTAGGAGTGTTTCATGTGTTCTTTCTTTTCATAGCAATTAAGTCAGGGAATGCCTTTATGACACAACATGGTCTGAAATGCTGCTAGAATATAAGAAATATGACAGAAAAAGGGGAGGTTCTGTGACACAAAATGCTTGTTAACTTAGTTTAACAGAGACTGTAAGCTGTAATCAAAAGTGTGCAGTATCTAAACTATTATCTAATGTCAAAGTTTAGATAAGTACCTGGTCTAGATCTCTTTAAATTATAATACATAAAAACTATGAAATTGTAACCCACTGGAAAATTGTTCAGATAGGGTAATAAAAATGTGCTTGTCATTGTTAATGTTTAGAATGAATAAATGTATGTTGATAATAAATGTATTTTGATCATATATTTTTTAACCAATGTCATTATTATTATATATGATCAAAGTTGGTGAGGTGAGATGCAAAAAATGGCAGCCATTTTGAAATGATTCTGGATAAAATTATGATTTGGGAAAAAAATTAAATATGTAGAATGGCATTTGAGAACTAATCATAAAAGTATTTTTATGAAAAATTGTAGCCATATTAAATTGAGTGATAATTTTAAAATTCAGCAGAGGTAATTCGCTCATTCTAAAGTCATCATTCAATAAAAATGAAACAAATCTGATAACCAGGATTTGAGTTATGGTCCCGACACACTTATGAATGGATACGTATCTTTGTTAAGTAGAGAATAATTTGAATAGGCAGTCCATGATCCTTACATATAAAGTATTAGGGTTGGACAATAAATGAATACACAAGTCAAACCTATTTCAAGTGACCTAAAAATGTGACTCTCTCTTCCATGACGTTCATTGTGACAAAGACTTTAACAATACAAACCCCATTACTAATATTAACTTTTAAGCTGATCCTGAACTTGCATAACTTCTATTGATACTGACATATAGAGTGGTCAGTATCAATAGAAGAAAAAAGGCTGATACCTTCACTGTCAATTTCATAATTTTTATTTTCATTGAATTTAAAATATCAAAATCAACATTTACTGTCTCCCAATTTGAAAAGAAAGTAATGGCTGTTACTTTATCCCAATCCTGGTCAAAACGAGGTATGGCATGGTATGGTTCTTTATTTCCTCCAATTTGGAGAGCAAATTAATACAAAAGACAAATTATTAAATTACAATATATACATTAGATACAATAGATACAAAATAACAATATGTGGCGAAATGAGTAAGGCAAGGTAATATTTGCTTACGACGTGAATTCTTTAAGCATGGCGCTTATTTGATTGGAACAAAGGTTAATGAATTGTTGCCATTCAGCAAAATCGTAATTCTGTAGTACATCTGTGCGACTACCCAATAAACATTCTACTAAGACATCATCGTCAGAGTTTAAGATGTTAATTGAGTCTTCAACAGGTAGAAGATTAACAATCTTTTCAAAAAATATATCTCTTGTTGCACTTAGAGATGAACATTCTAAAATGAAGTGTTTTACAATGTCGTTTGTTGTTTTGGCACAGGCTAGGCAATACTGCTCTTCTTCAGTAGAGAGTACAATGAGATATAATAATTGGGCATATTCCCATAATGAAATCCAACACATAACGTCACACCCAAACAACTTTATTCACCTGTGGTTGGATATCAAAAACAATATGGGTGAATATTAACAATATCAAGTTAGAGGGGAATATCCCAGAATTCATTGATGAACCTATCTCTAAATAAAGACAAACCCCTATCTGTACATCTTAACATATAGATCATTAATGAACTGTGGGGTATTCCCTCCTCTTTCTATCAAATAATAATATGTACTTGTACACTAAAGAATAAAATTTACTTACTTTAATACACCGAACATTATGAGATAGGTATACGCCAAGAGAGCTGCAAAATAAAAGTAAAACATTTTGTATTTTGTATCATGTTCTGACAAGCGAATGAAATCATGCAATGAAGGCCTGGAGAAAACATTGCCACAACCTGCCTGATGGCAATGTGAATATAACTTAAGAAAAAGAAAGGTTTAAATGGCACAATTTGGCAGGATTATATGGTGAAAAGGATAGTTTTAATGAATTCAATCTTACAAGATGCAAGGGTTTCATCAGCCATTTTTGACAACAGGTAAAATGAATGAAAACATCAAGAAAAACAAGGCATCAACATGCCAAATGTCACCACCTGCCATTTGTTAGACATTGGCCGCTGAACGCTTAACTCCAACCACCGAACACCATCCACAAAAATGTTATCTAACTTGGGTATAGTTTCAAATTCCTCAAAACAACAGGCAATTTTAGTAAAAAAGAGCCAGAGACAAAAGCACTGTTGCCTTCAAATGAAACCTCTGAGAGGTAGCTTGAGAATGACTTACCTAGGCTGTTAGTGGTGCGGCACCAAGACATTAACATCACATATGACACAATGGTAATCCCTATGAAGAGTAGTACCTTCTTAGCCTGAAAAACAAATGTGCTGAATTTTTATATACTGAAAAAACTAGTTCTAATAACCAATTTGGTTTGAACGTGTGAGTAGATTTATTGGTACAGTAGGTTAGCATGGGTGTAGCTCTACTTTAATAGATTTTGTATTGTCCTTAGGCAATGGGGTGTAGGTAACCTGCTTCCTTGAATTTGTACTGATTTTATATAATTTAGGTAATAATGATGGACCTGAACTGGTAATACCTGAGAGGAAATTCACCACTGGCATAAGAGAACAATGTGGGCATAACAGGCACTTTTCAACTAGAAACTTGAGTTTATAGTATAGTCCCCATCTTAACCAACCCCCTTATCCTCTTTAGTTACATTATAGTCTACTTTACCACCCTATTTATATACATAGTTCTATTTTACAATGTGTCATCACAACTTTCTTTAAACTTTAATAGAGATATTACAAGTGCCCCCACTCCGTTGGCCATAATGACCTCCATAATAACCTTAAAATTTCCCCTATCCCCTACTGACATCCATTAAAAGACAGTAAACTTACCCCACTCTCAGCTAGAAGACCTCCTAGCTCTCTCCTTGCAGAACCCCATACTGATTTATTGTGCTTTACAAATGGATGGATAACACCCTATGAACAGAAACAATATAATTTATGACTGTCATTTAGCACTGCAGTAGTAGGAGTTAATTATATATTTACATTGAACAGTTAAAAATCACTCACAATGACCTAATATATAATATTTTATTCAAAGCTCTATGTAACATAAACATTTTAATGATTTTCATCAAATATTCTCTGTATCTGCACATATTTCTTCAATATATCATTGAACATGTACTTATAATATCTAACGGCTAAAAATAGAATGGGTTCTAACTTACTGTAGAATTCAAAGTATCAGTGTGACTTCTTTGACGAAGATCTACAAAAAAGTACACATACATTTAATACAGGATAGACCAAAAAACCACACACAAGGTTAAATTCAGATTTTGATCATTTGACATAGTGATGCAGGAAACAATGGTACATGTCTTCTCAAAATAGCCCAGATCAGTCTTCCACCTGATTTATCTGACTACTAGTTTGATCATGAAAAATAAGACTGAGCTAAACTCACTTACATTCAAGAAGCTAGTGAAACATTCTTTAATCCTTATCTTACCTTAAGATCACTATTACATATTTGAATTTGACGCGTCTGTCTCGGCAATACTCGCAGCACAGTATTTTTTGGGGGTCTCCATACATACGGTGTTTAAACAATATTGTTTTACACTTCATTTTTTATTATCTCTTAGATATTGTGATTATGGTTGATACAAAGGTTATGAGCTGTTAGGCTGAATGTTCTACTAATTTTTAGAAGGTAAGAAACAGTATCATTTTTAGATAAGTCTTATTTTTCATGATCAAAGTTAGTCAGAAGAATCAGGTACAGTTGGGGACATAAATAAATGACAGGTGGATTTGCTGAAGTGAGGATTTCCCATGTTAAAAATAAGAGAATTTACAAGAGGCCATAAATCAGTGGATGAGATTATACAAAATGTAAAATATACAAATTTTAAGGGATATGTATCTAGACAATATTGGAAATTATGGGCTTTCAGACCACCATAATTAGGAAATGGTGATCGAAAATCGACCTGTCATTTATTTTTGTCCCCAACTGTAGAAGATTGTAGCTTGGTGGATATTCCTGGTTCAGAATAAGCTCATGTTCAGACAAATCTATTAGTGCATTATGTAACACTGGGTGTTTGACTGAGTGGAATTTCTGTTTTCTACCATGTTTACCCCATATGTTGAAGTTAGCCAAAAATGGTCGTCAATGTTTTACATCTTCGCCATAGTCGAGTGTCAAATTGATAAAATACTGAATAAACAAATGGTGTGTTGCTCACCAAAATATGATGGTGACATACAATATAATACAATTTAAATAAACGAGACACTGGGCTCATTAGTCTCTTGCAAATCATTAATGTAGATGTAGGCATGCCGGCAGCAGAAGAATTTAGGCCTAGCTTCAAGAAAAAAATTATAAAAATATTTTTTATTTTTTCAAAATTTTATTCAAACTGAAACTACCTGCTCCAGAACCTATGGAACCAATTTTCCCCATGTCCAATGCAACAGAAACATCTCCTCGTTGTGTCATTGTGATAATTTTTAATATAACTATTTGAAATAATCAAATATTCAACAAAATATGCACTTTTGCAACGTGTAAAATTTTAAGTCACTCCATGTCTGGTAGTTTTTATGACGTGTAATTTGATTGGTTAAGTTTTAGTACTTCCGTTATTTTGACCAATCATATCTCCTGTAACATTAGCTATTGCGGAAAATCTTTTCCGGTTTGTAATTTTTATTTTTCCTCGATCTTTTTCGATTTATACGTACATCTGCAAGCTAGTCTTTTCTCTGGGCCACTGACCTCTGCCAGATTACCTCTTCTTCAGTGGTGTCTAGGCTCAATAAATATACTCAAGGACAAGACACGAAATCAAATCTTCCGAAAATTTATATTTCTTTGATTTTGGAGTCAAATCAATATCAATATCACATGTCATACCTCAAACGATGCGTACTGTTGTTAGCTTCATCTCCAATCACTAAAGCCACACATTCAAGAAAGCGTCTGTTGATAAAAGCATAAAATAAGCGAGCGTATATTTATGGAGTGCTTCGGCTATTTCTGTCCTCAAATGTTTATTCCGAAGTCAAATGTCTTTTCTGACGCCACTCTGGATGACGTCACATCAGAGATTAATGAGAAACCCCATGACCTATCTTTAAAATCCAGTATAAAACAATAACAGCGGTTTGTTAGGCTACACGATCTTTACTTTCATTGGCCGTTTGTTGCGATGTGACGTAATTTGAGAGACAAAACATCGGACATTGCTGGAAATTACCGAAACACTCCATTATCTTTACGCCCTGAAAATCTGAAAGAAATGTCCTGGGAAAATTCGATTTACAGCGTCAATAATTGATATCATGCAACCATTCAAACTAATACATAAAGAAGAGATTACAGGGTAAATCAATGTCTGACAGATGGAAAAAATAAAGGTCAGTAAGAGGGACGAGGGTCATATTTTTGGGTGGTCATTTTTTGATGTAGCATTTTTTGCTTGTGTCATTATCTTCCCATATCCATCCTAGTTTGAGCCTACTACCAATAAGGGGCTGGATCTTGCTCCGGATCTTTGCTCTGGGCTGTCAATTTTTTAAGGCTATTAAGAACTGAGTACACTTCTGTAAGATTGACCCTAGAGCGTTACATTTACTACATGTCGAGTAATGAAATGGGTGCAAAAGCCAAAAACTCGGTTGTAAGCATATAGGCTATACGGTGCTATCATGTCACCTAATAGTCTCTGGTACTGTTTTTTCAACAGTGCTTTTCTCTTGTGACTCGAAACTCGAAGTGGAAATGACGCGCCATGGGTCATGATGGGGAGTAAGTCATCCCCCTCTCTGAATCTATTATTCTCTCTACTAATATAATCTAATATTTAAGAAATATAGACCGAAGAGTGGGGGTTATATCGTCGAATACACCCCTTAGGGCTAGGAACAAACGTTTTATGTACCCTGAACAACCGAAGGTAGGGGTTCGAAACCTTTTGTGCCTAGCCCTAAGGGGTGTATTCAACGATATTACACCTGCTCTGAGGTCTATATTACGATTCGAACATGAAAACTCACCAAAATGTTTCGAATATTCATTATGGTTCTCTATTACTACGGCCCGCCGTTATGACATCACACATTACAGGTATTACCAGGGGTATTGTTCGCGAATATGCCCCGGGTGAAATGCTTTGTTCACAGTTTATAGAAGGCGTAAATACAGTCAAGTTCGAACAGATAATATAAAAGCAGGACGACTTACTCCCCATGAAGTCACTACCCCCTTTAGTCTGTCTGAGTCTAAGCTTTCTTTCACCTTTCTTCCCTCCCTCTTATATTCTGTATATTGAGGTAATAGGCCCAGGGGTGTAGCCAGCTTTCAGTCAGGGGGATGCGTTTATGGCATGAACAAGTCAAAAAATAAGATTTATTTTGAACTTTACAAATGTATGCAACTTCCTTCAAGATTGAGCTAGAAGCTTCAAATAAAAAGCATTTTAAAGCTCTTTTCCTCTTCTTTCTCATGGTTCTATTTTTATTGGTCACGGGGGGGGGATGCGATCGCACCCATCGCACCCCCCTGGCTATGCCTATGTAGGCCTAAGAGAAAAAGTGCCATTGGTCTAGGAACATGTTTACATCTTCAGACTGTCAGAGCACATGTTCCCAGACCTAAGCCCCTCATACTATTAGGCCTATTACCTTAATTGGTTAGTCCATAATATTTACCTAATATAAAGAATATAGTGGCATTACTAGCAGGAATATCTCCCATAGGAATCTATGGTAACACAAACCCAGTGGAGAAAATTGGAAAATGGACCTTATGCACAGGCATTGGAACAAATGGTATAGTTTTCCTAAAAAGGACATCAACTCCCTCAGAATTTCTGTGTACCAAGAGAGAGAGAGAGAGAGAGAGAGAGAGTGGCAGAGGGGTTGATTTTCCTTTCAAGACAACTCTATTATCTGTTTCAATATTTGTGCCCTATCAATAACTCACATTAATAATTACATATTATTACGTTATGTTTCTCATTTCATGATTGGTTATACAATGAAACACCCTCAGCCTGGAACACACATCACGTGCCATAAAAAATGCTAGTAATGTGATAATCCCCGTGATGTTCACTGGAGTGTAGATATATTACTCATGACATATGGTATTAAACTACAATTTATTTTGTCTTCCAGTTGATATGCAATTAAAAAGGTAAAAGATCATGAATGAGAACAACACCTAGTGAATAACAGTACAACCTAACACCATAGCACACAAACTAAGAACTTGAGATGTCCAAAAAAGCTCAAGTACCATTGCCAAAGAGACCAGCACCACCAACCGTGGATCAAATACACGACGATTTAAAAAACATACCAGAATCGGACCCTTTATTTTCAATTTTTAAAAATTCTGAGACTGATGACATAACTGAGGATACTGCAGAAAAGAAAAACGAAATCAACAAAATATACAAAGACGCATTTCACTTTATAGAACTTCACCATAATTTAAAAGAAGTACCTGAAAATTTAGAACTTTTAAGGAACTCTATGGAAAGTGCGGGTAAAGAACTAAAAGAATCATTGCAGTTAATGAAAGGACAGGCTAATCTGCCTTCAAAAAAATCATAAAAAGTTTTAATCCAACAAGGAACAGACAGTCATTTCAAGGCATTGTAGTGCAGAAAACACAGGGACGTTTTACCATGAAGAAGTACGGAAAGCAGTCAACATTCGGATTGTATAAAGGATTTAAATTCTTCTTGGTGTTTGAGATAACATTGATAGCAGGGACTTACACTGTATGGAGAACCTTGAATAGGTCGCAAGGTAATGAGATCATATACACTGTATATGGTCTTGTCGCCACACCTCAGACTAAAATTGTGAACTGTAATGACCAATTGATTCTTAATGATATCATATTACTTTGAGCGTTATTATTTTTTGGGGTAACCAGCTCAGATTTTTACAAAAATATGTTTAAGTGCAGGTAGTTTGTGAAAATATCTACCTGTTTGAATTATGACCTTTTCAAAACACAATGTTATATGATGGAATTAAAAGTAATATTTTTCTTGATCAGGGGTGCATTTCTTATTAAGCATTCTTAAGTTCATGAATTCGTATGTCTTCATCTCATATGATGTCATGATATATTATTAACTCTGAGTCGACCCAGTGTTCTCTCAAGGATTTTTTCTCAAGTGGGTGCAAAATTCTCATTTCCCCAATTCAGTCCAAAATTGGTCAACATATGCCCATTTTATATGATTTTTCTCATTTTCAAGTGGGTGCAAATGAAATCTTAGGTGGGTGCAAACCTGTTTTTAAAATCTAAGGTGGTTGTGCGCCCACTTGCTTTGATGCTGGGGAGATCGCTACTATGATATCTCTCACATCATGATAGGCATTGTTTTAATTGAGTCGTGGAATTTTACTTCAACATTTTATCAGAAATAATTTTTAGTAAAGGTCATTATTCAAAAGTGTAATTTTTGTTAAATACCACTTCTTGTTTTCAGAGTTCCGAAGAAAGATGAGTAAAGATTGGCCTCTGGTGTTGGAAAGTAAGTGTTAGAATTACATGGATTATGTATAATTCAAAGTGAATAGCAGAAGAAACGTAGAAGGGATAGCGATGAATTGAGAGCAAAGCCTCAGTCATATTTGCTCTAAGGCCGCTGTACGATGGGCATAGCTTCACAAAATTGATATACAAAATCTACATTGTACTGCTTATCCCTATATTTTGTGCTATATATTTCTCTCTTGGGAAGCTATGGCCGTTGTACAGTTGCCTTGGATCAGATGTGAGGCTTAAGGCACAAAACAATATTATTTTGCAGTTGCTCTCATTTTTCTTGCCTTTTTCTAAAAAGTTCATTTGTTCTGAATTTTATTCAATGTCAATAGTCCTTTGATTTTCAAGAATATCTGGTCAACAAATTTCATAATTTACCAAAAAATCTTCTTTTGATAGGCCCATTTGAAAAAACATTTCTCACTGCCTTTTTGTAGAAATGATATGTACGTGTACTTGAGAATCTTTGTTATTTTCCAGGTTATTACAAAATTGGTGAATTTTTTGGTGGCGACGCAATCAGGAACTATGACAACAACACTTGGGGAATTGACAAAACAGAGTAGAGATTAAACATTAAGCTAAAATGATTTTATTGGGTGCAGAAGAGTTAGTCATTTAGATGGAAAGATTGCTTGTTTTCAGAAGCGTGAATAAATTGGCATTTGAAAAAAAGATCTCATTGCTTATCTTACTGATATATTGTTCTTGGAGAAACTCCCACTGTCTCAATGGTTGTTCATTTATCCAACCAGAGAAAAAAGAAAAGTGTTATTAATATAATGAGTATGCTTACTGCACTGTTAATTGCAAGAACTCTCACATTTGAATGGTGCTCAGCTACATGTTATGAAATTTTGTGTGCCTGTCATCTGAATTTACCTGAGTGGTAAAACCAGCTGGCACCTATATAATTAGATACTAAGAAGTCAACGATCTAGGATCACGATTACGTATTTAGGCCTAAGTCACCTTATAGATAAGAGGTCAATGTTAAGATTATTTAAGGCCAGTGCCAGCTAATAGGTTGATATCTGGGTATTTCAATATTCACATTTTGCAATTCATTGGTAGAAATGTTAATTTACATTTTAGAGGGTAAATAATGTAATATGGAAATCAAATATTACCATTATCTTGGTAAATGGTCCTTCATATTTTACTGCATATTATTTTTGAAGGTCATGATAACATGGTAGGTCAAGGTCATGTTCCATGATCAAGGTCATTACAGACTGAATTAGATCTAGCAGCAAGCTAAATAAAAAATTGTTTCAATTTTAGAATATTTTTGGCTCATATGATTTTTTATCATGTCTATTTTCTAAAACTCCACAGAGTGCACACTTTATGTCAGGAGATTCTTACAATAATGAATAATTTTTTCTATTTTTACCCCCATAAATCACCCCCACAACTATACTTATGTGTTGAAAACTTGGGGTTGTAAAACATTGTCAATAGTTGACACAAAGCTGACTTTTATCTAAATAACCACTAATCAATCTTATTTTGATTCAATTTGAACTCTAAGATTTCAATAAGTGGAGGACGTGCTTTTGGCGACACGTTTTTAAGTACTCATTTATTTCAAACGTTTTGACAGAATATGAGCCAATGTTATTTGGTAGAAACATCGCCCGTGCTACGCAGAGATGCCTTTAGTATCGCTACGTCCCCGGCTACGTCCCCGGCTACGTCCCAACATATTTTCTGAATATGATCTAGAACTTCTCGAATATCTTCTAGAAAGCACGACAATTTCACAAAATCCATCATATTTCAGGTATCTTGCGTTATATCATCACGTAATGGGGACTGATTTATTAATAAAAACATTACACATAGATTCGGATACTTCAGTTTCCAAAATAAGTGGAAGAATTCAGAAAAAATAAATTTAGTTGGAAAGTGTGAAGATTGTGTACGAAGTTCACCATGATATTGTAGCTTATATGTCCTTTGTTTTTAATTTTCAAAAAACGTATTAATACGATTTACATTAATACATTTACTATAGGAATTTATGAAAATATGAATATGTTTTCTTTTAGTTGAGTGATGGGGGTTAGTAAGCCATGACTGAAAATTACTCTAGGGCAAGAAAACTAAAGGAAAAAGCCATTGGACCATCCTGTTTGTAAATTGTCATTGGTTTTTAGTGCGAAAATAATTATAACTCTTGGGGAACATTTTGTATTATAATTTGATAATTGATAACACTATGAAGCTTTTGTCAAAATGACGGGCCAGCAATAATCGGCAAACCAAGAACACCATCAAAATTACAACGCATCCTTTGGTCCAAGGATTATTAGTCTTCCTTCCCCTAGCAGCAAAGGGAATTAGGTCCATCGGACCATATTTCCTTATGGTTGGCTTACCCGCCCAATTAACGGCGCTACTATTTGTTTGCAAACATGTACATTTTCTTAAACATATGATACCGACAAACGTTTGTGATAAAAATGTCGTGGGAATTCTGCCTGCAACACCGGAATTAGGTAAAAATCAAAATCGATCGTATCTTTGAGGTTCCGACATTTTGTTACGATCCGTTTCGGTAACCAGCATAATCTAGTGGAGTACCAGTGATAAACAAAAACTTTCTGGAGGGGAAATTGTTAAAAAAAACTATGATTTTGTCAAAGAGATAATCAACCAATTAATCTGTGATTTGTTTTGTAAATATTTACTTTTAATTTCGATATGATATTATCATTGATTGAAGAAGTTCCTTTGATGTTATAATATGTTTGTTGTTCATATAGCTCAAATATTCTTTAATCCAAAGATTAGTACAATAACGTCATTTCGGCCCTCGGTCCAATATTTCACTTTATCCCACGATTAATGTGTTATCTGTACAATAACAGCTATTGATATTTCTGATATTATTTAAATCCGTGTGATATTTTCCAGAAAATCGTTTATCAAACTCATATGGCTGCGTGTGATATCGTTTATCTCACGCATATCCGTGTGATATCACATTTGCATTTCGCGCCACAATATTGTTGGAAATTAGGTCAGATAATTTATTCTCTTTTGAGAAAATAGGTCCGTTAATTTATTCTCTTTAAGTTTCATTGGTGTATTGAATTACGATTGTGCATATAATTTGATTAGAAGGTTGCTAAATAACGATTAAAAATGGTATTTATGACGAACTATATCATGTACAGAAAGTAGTGCATGTTACTGCGCAGTGAGTAAAGTACAAATCAAAATGGCCGGTGCAAATTCGTCTGACGAAGAATTGGCGAATTTCGACATTCACATTGGAAACTCTGACGTTTCCGGTATTCTAATTTCTAGTTTCAATGTCCTGGAAATTGGATCAGAACATCACAAGGTGATTGTTATCATGGGATAAACCCAATATCACATAATATCTCGTGATATCATTTTATCGCCTCGTAGATATCTACCCTGCGTGCAGAGTCTAGTTAAACTACAAGAAGAAGACGAAGCTCTCTTTGAAGAAGTGAAGTCAAACGAATGCAAAGGGTAGTAGATATCAAATATCAACACTCATTCGCTTCGCTCACTCGTGTTGATATTTGATATCAACTCGGCGATAAAAATGATATCACTCAAAATGATGTGATATTCTGTATATATTGCCAGCAGAAATGACGTTATTAGTATTATCATGGGCTTTCAATTAGATGAAAGCCCATGGTATTATTACCACCGTTAATGACCAGGACTGAAACAGCAAGAAAATCGTACGCACTGAACGATATCTAATTTCCCGGGGAAAATTGCCGGTCATTAATTGCATTCTTGACCGGCAATATTGACCACCACTATGACGTCACATATTGCCAGGTCGATATAGTAAAATGAATGCCTTCTAAACTAGCACTAAAACCCCTAGAACTGGCCCGGCAAGGTGCTAATAATATTTTTTCACAGCATTCACAGATGAAGTTAATGAAGTTCATGTTTAAGTTATGCACAAAGAGAACTTTATTTGTTTGGTCAGGAAATATTGAGTCATGAAATATAAGAATAAGATATGAGAGTTTTAATGGCATCGTTTGACTGTTTATTTGTGTCAATAAAGTGAAAAACTAGAAAAACTTTTGCATTGGATGTCATACATTTAAATTGTTGCCTGAACTGAAAATATAAAAATCTTGAAAAATCTTCTTAAAACGACCTGCTCCACCCGGGAGGAGGGGGATGGGGGAGACTCCGATATATTGGCTACATGGGGACTTACTATATTTGCACATAGCCATCTTAGATCTCTCAGGAGATAGCTTTGTGGAAACTAGCTAAGTAAATGGGGACGTGCCGCTAAAGTGGGTCCATTTTTCGCCGAAAAACCCCTACATGTGGGTCCCATTTTGAAGAAAAAAAACTAGATAGTCCCATTTTGATGAGAAAATCCCTAGAACTGGGTCTACTTTTTGAAAAATCCTAAAATAGGGTATTGATTTTGAAAAAAACGCTGGAAGTGGGTCTTGTTTTTCAAAAATTACCTTGAAGTGGGTCTATTTTTGAAAAAAACTAGATGTGGGTACAATTTCAGCTGAGACGATTTAAGAGAAAAAAATCCCTAGATGTGGAAGATCCGGGGGTAGATTAACCAAACCCGTCTGGCCCAGCTATCTGCTCTATCTACTCCCGACGTCGTAGATCTGGGCCAGACGAGTTTGGTTAGGTTAGTGGCACCCCCTGTACAAAAATCTGACCAGCGCCCCCCCCCCCCTCGGACCGGGGCTCTCCATTGATCAAATTAGTCGATGACATGCAGACATGTGCAAAGAATTGTTCGGGCTTTTCGAATTTCGCGGTATTTTACAAATAGGTAACGGTAATTCCATCTAGGATATGGCTATTACTCAATTATCTAATACTAGAAATAGTAATCAAGTCCATTTAAGATTGTATTTCGAACCATATGTTCTAACCATTGAACGTAACTTATAACGGTTATAAATGATACAAATAAAATGACATATATGTGCGAATAATTCCAAGATAATACAGAGAATATGTAACAATAATACTGGGTACTATTAAGTTTTAAAAAATCACGTGAGAAATTGACTGGCTAGAACTTACTTCCTGCGAAAGCTATTTGGATTTTGATATAATAGCTTTCCCACGGAGCATTTGGACAGCTCAGTGATCGTGACCTTTGAAATCGAATTAAGTAGATCCGCGACTTACTTTTGGTCTCTAACTGTGTCTTACATCAGTATCATCAATCCGTGTAAGTATTGGAGCGCTGGAGTACTTCTTTTTCGATCAAGACTTGTAATTGTTAGGTCGAGTGAATCGTTTTACTGCCAAATTCCAATATGGCGGTTTCTGCTCGGACATTTTCGTAAATCTCCGGAGGTTGTCCGAACCTAACTAATTCTCAAAATTCATTTCGTTCGTTGCGTATCTCGCACCTAGCAAATCGCCATATTGGAAATAGGTCTGTAAAACTTTAACTCGATGAACAATTTACAAGTCTTGATCGAAAAAGAAGTACTCCAGCGCTCCAATACTTACACGGATTGATGATACTGATGTAAGACACAGTTAGAGACCAAAAGTAAGC